ATCACGGTCGGCGCGGCATACTCGGACTCGGATCGCTGAATCAGTCCCGCCTCTATTAACTCCTTGCATTTTTCCTTGCAGATATCCGCGTCCCCTGGCATCATCCGCCGCTTCCTCTGGAACACCGGTTCCTCCGTCATTAATTTCAGCTCCATCTCCTTAACGGTGCATTTCCCTAATTCCTGCAAGGTGAAGGCGAAGGCATGGCGAAACCTGGCCAGCACCGCCTGCAGTGCCTTCCTTCCGTTAGGGCTCATTGCCTCTCCCACCTCCCATTCTGCTTCCTTTGCTCCTGCTGGCATGCATGCCCATGCCCCCATCTTCTCTGCTACTTCCCTTGCCTCCTCTTGTCTTTGGGTGCTGTCCCAGACCGGTCCCCTCCACATCCTGCGCGTCAGCCACAGCATTACCTGTCCATCCATTGCCCTTCCCAGCGCGCTGTGCCTTTCTTGCTCTGTGACTCCCTCTGCCCGTGTTATGTCCTCCCCGTACCCCATCGCCAGCTCTCGCTCAAGCGCTGTTGGTTCTTCCCACTGCTTCTTTCGGTGGTCGTACACCATCCCTTCCCCTGCCTCGCCATTCTTCATTCTAAATCCCGCTGCTCCCTCAAAGGCCACCAGAGTTGGCCACGCCCTTCGCTCCTCCCCCACCTTGTTACACGGACACTGTGTCTCGTGTCTGCCCTTCTTCACTGGTGCCGCCATCCTCCCCACCTCCAGTATATCCTTCACTGTCCTGCCCCATGACCGCTTCACCCCATCTAGCTCCTCCTGCAGCTGGTCTTCCAGTACTACGTTCTGACAATAGCGCCTTACCCGGTGCGCTCGTGCCCCCAGCCTTGCTGCATCACATCTGACTCCCTTTCCCAACCGCTTTGTCACCAGTTCCCTCACCCTTCTCACGGGCTCTCTCAAGTCCCCTTCCAGGTCCAAGTGCTCCAGTAGGTATGTTACTTCCCCCTGTCCTTCCTTTATCCAGTCCATAATGCGCAGCAGGTCTAACAGCGGGGCCCCCCTAGCATCCTCCATGCCTTTTCCCTTCCCCGCTGTCGATACCCCCTGGCACTCCCACCCTGCCACCAGTAGGTCCACGTGCCCCCAGCTGCGCACCATATCTCGTGTTATATGTCTCACATCTCTCACCGTCCCACGCATGGCCCGCTCTATCACTTCTTCTCCCAACAGCTCTGGATACTCTTCCTGCAGCTTCTTCGCGTGGTTCTCCGCCATCTTCCGCACTCGTGTATCCTTCTCCACGTATATCCATTCTTTGACTGCAACCCCTGATTTTAATACTGCTGCCAATCCTGCTCCTATCCCCCCGAATAGTTCCACCATCCTTATCGGCTGCAGCCAGTTGCTCCTCCTGTTCCCTGTGCCATTCAGCTCTGCTCCTTCCTCACCTCCCTGTCCTGCAATATACGCCCTTCTCGGCTCCTGCTTCACGAACCGCACAGGTAACTCACCCAACTCACTCTGCTTATTCCAGTACTGCCTCGTGAACTCCACTTGCTCTTTCCTGGTGCATATTGTCATTCCTACCTTGTACACTAAGTCGGTTCCCAGCAGCACATCAAAATCTTCTGAGTCCGAGATGCCGCACTGCACTCGGATCCTTGACTCCCCTTCTTGTCCTGGCAGCAGCACTATCTCCACAGGTGTTTTTGTGCTTGGCATCCACTTCGGCGCCCCTCCCTCTGCTGTCATCACCAGCATCCCCTTTTTAACGTACTGGCCTGGCCCCGTCAGTCCCAGCTTTTTTGTGCCATCTTCCTTCCCAGCATCACGCTCTGTGCCCCCGTATCTATGATTGCTGTTCCTGCCCGTTCTCCCCCTACTGTTATGGCCCCTGCTTCAACTACCAACACTGTCGTCTGGCTGGCCAGTCTGTCCTTGGGGTGGCGGTGGGCTGTCCCTGCCTGCCCCTATGTCCTTGCTGTCTTCTGCTCAGGTCTGCGGCGTTCCTTCATCACCTGCTCTTTGCGCTTGTCCATCCCTCCGCTTCGTAACCCTAACTCCTCTCTGCTCCGCAGCACCGCAAATGACCACTACAGTTTCTGCTCCTCCTCCTCCCCATCTTCTTCCTCCTCTCTTGCATACATTCCCGCCTCCCTCTCCTTCTTCCCTCCCATGTCCCGCAACTGTGCCTGCAGCCTACCAATCTGCTTCTCTATGTCCTCGGATGATCTCTTTGGCCCACCTGTCCTTTGATAGCAGTCCTTCGCCTGATGTCCTTGTTTCCCACACACCTCACACTTGGGCGCGTCCGGGCATTCCCTCCGGCGGTGCCCAGGCTTGCCACATGTGTCACAATTCTTGCAGTCCCTCTTTATATGCCCTTGTTGCCCACACCTGTGGCAGGTGCGTGTGTCCACCCTTCTCTCCTGCCGATTCTCCTCCCTTGTCCCCTCCTCGGGTATCATTGCTGCTGCCCAGGTAGGTTTTCTTTCTTCTGCCGCTTTTGGCAGGTAGGCCTCATACCGCCGCTGCGCCAGTTCCACCTTTTCCGCCAGCTCAAACACCTCCTCTAGTGTGGCCTCCGCCCCTAGCTCATATACTCGCATTCTCAGCCCCCCGCTCAACCCCTTGTCCAGTCCCCCCAGGAACTTACTTATGAGCATGCTGTTGTCCGTACATACGACATCTTCCGCCAGATTCATCAATCTCCCGTAATAGGTAAGCACTGACTCTGTTTTCCCCCGTCTGAACTCCTGAAACTCCCTAATCCTTTCCGCCGTATGCCCCGGAAACTGCTTCCGAAGGCGCTCCAGGAACAGTGTCGTGGGGTCCTTATCATCCTCCTCCGCCCTTCTCAGCCACTCCTTCATTTTCATGCGGTACATCGTCTCTGCCTCCCCTCCCAAGGTGTTAGGCAAACTTAAGAAGAACTCGATCGGGTCCATTCCGCTACGGTCACAGCGGTACTTCACGTTACCTATCTGCATAAGGTAGTTCCTCAGGTTGCTCCCTGTTCCTATGTCTCCCGTGAACCTCACCGGCACCTCCACCCGTGGCATTGCTGCCGCACTCCATCTCCCCGTCTCCCACGTCCCTGACTCCTCTCCTGCCGGATGGCCGTACTCCCTGCCCCTTGCTCCTGATCGCCTGCTCTTTGTGCTCCCTCCGTACAACGCACGCTCTATGCCTTCCCTCGCAGCTCTTGCTCCCCTCGAGCCTTCCCTCACACGCTCAGACCTTCCCTACCATCTCGGGCTCGGGCTACGCCTCTCGCTGGCCTTCGCGCGGCTCTCTTCTCGCCTTTCCCTGCGTTGACCCCTTGCCTCAGGTGATTCTCCGTCCTTGCGCTGGTCTTGCTTACCATGCCTGCGACGGGCCCGGTCATACTCCTCTTCGCTCTCAGACTCAGTCTCAATTTCCCGTTCCTGGCGCCGCCTCTCATATCTCTGTTCCTCCTCTTCTTTCCTCCTTACCCCATCCTCAGGTGTCTTTTCCGCCTCTGACTTTCCTCGCGATAATCCTCTCCTTTCCTCCCGATGCTCATTTCCTCTCTGCTGTCGATCATCCGCGTCCGCGCGCGACCTTCTCCTCTCTTCTCGTTCGCTTCGCGCATCTCTCTCATGGCGATCCCCTCCCTCATACGGCTCTGGCGACCTTCGCATGCCCATCGCCCTTCGTCCCCTCCTCCCGTACCTTTCACGCGGCTCAGGCGAACAGTACGCCCCTGCCTGCTCGCGCTGATGGCGGACACCTTCACCGCGTCCGACTGAAAAGCGATCTGCTTCCGCGCGCGCGCGAGGCTTCTCTCCGTTCTCGCGTACTGGATCCGTCGCGTCGCGCTCCGTCCCTTCTCCCTTCTGGCCCATTTCTCCGTCCTCATGCTCCTCCGCATCCGCGGCCTCTCCCTCTTCAGGTTCCTTCACGCCGTCCCGCGCAATTGGGACATCGTCATCGTCGACCCCGTCGTCCTCGCTTGACGACTCTAACTGGTCGCGCACATCAACCTCCTTGAGGCGCTGGACGCCCTCGCTGCGACTCGGCAGATTCCATGGATCGCTTCGCGTGGTTAGTGATCTGGGAAATGACTCCGCAAAACGTCCAGGCTCACCTTCCGCGCGCCGATTCCTTTCAAGCATTACCCGATCCGCGCGGTATGCTTCCGTACGCGGCGAGCGTACTGGCGATCTCCCGCGCTCTCGTGAGCGCATCCTCCGCTGCACTTCAGGACCCCGTCGACTGTAGGTCCTAGCCCATCGATGCTCGTGGCAGTCCATACTGCGCATTTCTTCTCTCGTTTGTGAGGAATCCGTCCCCCACACTTGGCTACTTCGAGTGGCCTCGTCACCTGGCTTAGAAAGCTTAGATCAGCAACTTAATCCACTATAGAGAGTAAACAAACGTGAGAACTAATCGAGTGATGTTTGTCTAGGCTATAAATCTACCCTCGGCCAAGTCGCCAATGTCTCAGAGTTCTGGTTGAGTTCGGGCCGCTCCAGTTTGGTATTGGCCAGAGTGATTTCCCAGTTGCTCGAGGCTCTTGGGTTCACTTCTTGCGCGCCTCGCTGGTCCCCAGGCCATCAACTTCGCGTCACTCTCCCTGCTGCCCACCAACCTGCTTACAAGTCAAATAACATTCTACACCCCGCTCCATATGCTACAGCACATCACATTGCACCGTATTAGCGTTAACAGGATGAATTGCAACTTCCCTCAGTGAATTCTGTGACATAACGTAACCACAAGTGAGAGTGAGTATGCACGAGTGAGACAAATTAATTCATGCGTACTCACTCTCACTCACTCACCTCTACCCAGGTGGGACAGAAGAGGCTGACAGAGGTGAGACAGATTGACCTCATGTATACTCAAACTCCCACTCTCACACTCACTCACACTCACGCACCTGAGCCCATGTGGGATAGAAGAGGCTGTTGGTGGGGGCAGGGATAATCGTGAACCGGTAGGTGTAACCAGCGAGCAACGACACGGTAACATAAGCGAGACAGGTTTGCTTCATGTATATTCAATTTCTCACTCTCACACTCAGTTACAGTCACGCACCTGTGCCCAGGTTGGGTAGAAGAGGCTGTTGGTGGGGGCAGGGATGATCGTCAACCGGTAGGTGTACCCAGCGAGCAGCGATGCAGTAACGTAACGGTAGGCGGTGCGCTTGGGGTCTGCAGGGGGGCTGTCAGGGTTGTCGTTGTCCGTGCCGTATGCTGTGAAGGTCTCTCCATCCTCTTCCCTTGTGATGTTGATGTAGCTGGTGGTGGGGGGAGGGGAGAGGAGAGAAAGGAGGAGCTGGTATCACTCTCTGTGGGGGCTGTCAGGGTTGTCGTTGTCTGTGCCATAGGCTGTGAACGTCTCCCCGTCCTCCTCCCTACTTATGTTGATGTAGCTGGTGGTGGGAGAGGGGTGGGAGAGTGGAAATATTGGGCTGGACTCATTCCAAGGTTTAAGAAAGGATAAGCTCAGGTGGAGCTGACAGGCTGTCAGCCACACAATCCGAGAACTATAGCTCCCAATGCTCTTGACACGCATCAAAAGTTGAGGCGCCACACATGCACGAGAAATATTGCTCCCAATGCTCGCCTGTATGGCCGGAGCTCCTTGGTTGGGTGGTAGACCGTCCATCCCATTGGGTCGAACGCCCGGCTCGTACTAGAACAGAACACGCCCACTGCCCTGTAGCACACTGACTGGCACTACCACATGGCACTCTACTGGCACACACAAGGCACTCTCCCTCCCTGCACCAGGGAACGGCTGCTCACCTGTACGGCCGGAGCACCTTCGAAGGAAGGCCAGTCATCCCGTTTGGCCGCACGCCCTGCTCGTAATAGAACAGAACACGCCCACTGCCCTGTAGCACACCGACTGGCACTGCCACACGGCACTCTCAGCCCAGTACTGGCACAGGCTGGGGCGCACAGTGGCAGGCGGCAGTATGGGCGAGAAGGGGTGTGATGGGGAGATGGGGAGATGGGGCACTGACGCTCACCTGTAGGGCCGGAGCACTTTAGCTGGTAGACCCTGCATCCCGTTAGGCCGCACACCGGGCTCATAGTAAAACACGCCCACTGCCCTGTAGCACACCGACTGGCACTGCCACACGGCACTCTCAGCCCGGTACTGGCACAGGCTGGGGCGCACAGAGGCGGGTGGCAGAATGGGCGAGAAGGGGTGTGATGGGGAGATGGGGAGATGGGGCACTGACGCTCACCTGTAGGGCCGGAGCACTTTAGCTGGTAGACCCTGCATCCCGTTAGGCCGCACACCGGGCTCATAGTAAAATACGCCCACTGCCCTGTAGCACACCGACTGGCACTGCCACACAGCACTCTCAGCCCGGTACTGGCACAGGCTGGGGCGCACAGTGGCAGGCGGCAGTATGGGGGAGAAGGGAGCGACTGCAAAGGCGCCCGGCGTGCCGAGGAGAGAACCGTCGAGATCCCTGAGGGCGTAGAAGCGGGCTATGAGTCCCCCCCTGGGGGGAGTGGTGGCAGGCTGTTGGGTTGTAAATGAGGAGAAAGAGAGAACATGGGAGATGGGAGGAGAAGGAACTCAAAGATTGGAGACCGAGGCCAGAGGAGAGGGGAGGGAGGGAAGTGAGTTGGGAAGGAGAGGTAGGCAGGTGGCAGGATGGGCGAGAAGGGGGCGACTGCGAATGCGCCGGGCGTGCTGAGGAGGAGAGAACCATCGAGATCCCTGAGGGCGTAGAAACGCGCGATGAGAGGCTGTGGAGGAGAGAAAAGAATGGTTATGAGAGAGCCAGGTGAAGTTGCTGGCATGCCGAGGAGAGAGCTGTTGAGCCTGGAGACCGTAGTAGGAAGTGAGCGATGAGGCCTCCAGCATAAAAAAAAAATAAAAAAAAATCACCACATATGAAACATTTTCAGCACACTTAGAAAACAATTCACCACATGTAGGAACATTTTCACCACGTATAAAACATTTTCATCACAAATAAAACATTTTCACCGCATATGAACCCTTTTCACCACAATTTTTTTTTTAACATATATATTTTCACCACATAGGAAACCTTCTCATACCAGATACAAATCATTTACACCACATCGAAAGCTTTCACACCACATCCTAAACGACACACAGTTTCCTACCGGGTTCGGCGTGGCCCAGAATTTTTTGCTGCCCGATGCGAATGAATTGTTCTGCAAGTGAAAGATTTGAAGAGGGGGAATGAAGAGTGCGAATGAATAGTTTTGCGAGTGAAAGAATTGATCATAGTGAGACGGGGAGGGAAAGGAAGCGAGAGGGAGGGGAATGGAGGGAAAGGGAGAGGAAGGAGAGGGTGTGGGTTAGGAACGAATATGCATTAAGTGGAAAGGTGACTGAGCATTGATGCTGGCAGCAGTGAGAGAGCTAACTGTGGTGTGCGGAAGCAGCAGCAGCAACACACCAGCCCAAACCCCAAAACATCACGACACGCAACACACCAGCCCAAACCCCAAAACATCACGACACGCAACACACCAGCCCAAACCCCAAAACATCACGACACGCAACACACCTGGACAAAGATGGCCGCGTTCCACCCGGCCGTAGCCACCTGGCTTGTCAACGAAAGCAGCACATGAATGAATGAACTACCACCACGGGCACACTTGCAAGCTGGACGCAACGCACCTGCACAATGAAGGCCGTGCTCCAGTAGCCGCCCGGTTTGTTGGTCATGAGAGCGATGCCGAAGCTGGCAGTGGTGCACGTGATGGTAGCAGCAGTGGCAGCAGCAGTGGCAGTGGCAGGGCCAGTGGTGAAAACACACAACGCACCTGCACAACGAAGGCCGTGCTCCAGTAGCTGCCTGGCTTGTGAGCAGAAGCAGCAGCAACACACCCACCCACCCTAACCCAACAACAACACGACCAGCAACCACCTGCACATAGAAGGCCGTGTTCCAGTAGCCGCCTGGCTTGTGAGCGGAAGCAGAAGCAGCAGCAAGGCACCCACCGAAACCCAAACCCAACAACAACACGACCAGCAACCACCTGCACATAGAAGGCCGTGTTCCAGTAGCCGCCTGGCTTGTGAGCGGAAGCAGAAGCAGCAGCAAGGCACCCACCGAAACCCAAACCCAACAACAACACGACCAGCAACCACCTGCACATAGAAGGCCGTGTTCCAGTAGCCGCCTGGCTTGTGAGCGGAAGCAGAAGTAGCAGCAAGGCACCCACCGGAACCCAAACCCAACAACAACACGACCAGCAACCACCTGCACATAGAAGGCCGTGTTCCAGTAGCCGCCTGGCTTGTTGGTCACAAGAGCGATGCCGAAGCTACCAAGTGGTGCATGTGATGGCAGTGGCAGTGGCAGTGGCAGTGGCAGACCTCGTGGTAGAGGTGAAAGCTCACAGCACACCTGTACAAAAAAGGCTGTGTTCCAGTAGCCGCCTGGCTTGTTGGTCACAAGAGCAATGCCGAAGCTACCAGTGGTGCATGTGCCGTACCCTGAGAAGCTGAGCGGGGGGGGAGGCATGGGACGGAAGGAGGGGGCTGAAATGGGGGAGGGGAAGAAACTGAAGACACATAGAGCGATGCCGAAACTACCAGTGGTGCATGTGCCGAAACTACCAGTGGTGCATGTGCCGTACCCTGAGAAGCTGAGCAGGGGCCACACGAAAACGGGAGTTGGAAAAAGGAAGGCATTTGAAGAACAAGGAGAAATGAAGGAGGCGGGTTGGTCTTTCTTAGAGAGGGTCGTCTGTTTCATATCTGTGTTGGGTCGTCTGTTTCATATCTGTGTTGGGTCGTCTGTTTCATATCTGTGTTGGGTCGTCTGTTTCATATCCGTGTTGGGTCGTCTGTTTCATATCTGTGTTGGGTCGTCTGTTTCATATCTGTGTTGGGTCGTCTGTTTCATATCTGTGTTGGGTCGTCTGTTTCATATCTGTGTTGGATGGTCTATTTCATATCTGTGTTGGGTCGTCTGTTTCATATCTGTGTTGGGTCGTCTGTTTCATATCTGTGTTGGGTCGTCTGTTTCATATCCGTGTTGGGTCGTCTGTTTCATATCTGTGTTGGGTCGTCTGTTTCATATCCGTGTTGGGTCGTCTGTTTCATATCTGTGTTGGGTCGTCTGTTTCATATCCGTGTTGGGTCGTCTGTTTCATATCTGTGTTGGGTCGTCTGTTTCATATCTGTGTTGGGTCGTCTGTTTCATATCTGTGTTGGGTCGTCTGTTTCATATCTGTGTTGGGTCGTCTGTTTCATATCTGTGTTGGGTCGTCTGTTTGATATCTGTGTTGGGTTGTGTTTTTCCTATCTGTGTTGGGTTGGGTCATTTGTTTCCTATCTGTGTTGGGTTGGGTCATCTGTTTTGTATCTGTGTTAAGTTGTCTGTTTCATATCTGTGTTGGGTTGGGTCATCTGTTTCCTATCTCTAACGAGGATAGGAAACAGAGGAGGAAGAACACATGTACAGGAACCACATACTGGTTCTTAGAACAGGAACTTACAAGGAATGTTCCACGGAGGAGGGTCGCAGGATGTCCGCGGGGTTGCTCTGGCTCAGCGTGACTCCAATGGGCGACTCAAACGACCCGTCTCCTATCTCCTTCTGTGGCACCACCACTGCTGCTGCTGCTTGCGCTGCTTGCAACGATCGTCCCGTATCGCGGTTTTGCCTTCCTGTGCCAGAAGGAGCAGCAGCAGCAGCAGCGATGGTATCCCCACCGGCCTGGGTCCAGTAGCCCAGCCAGAAGCTCTCAGCCCAGGGAGGCACCTCTCCTGCTGTTATGTTGTATGCCATCTCCGCCTCTCCACTGCTGCTGCCACCGCTGCTGCTGCTGCTGCTGCTGCTGCCTGTGCTGCTGCCTGTGCTGCTGCTGCTGCTGCTGCCTGTGCTGTTGCCTGTGCCGTTGCCTGTGCTGCTGCTGCTACCACTGCCGCTGCCTGTGCTGTTGCTACTACCAGTCCCACCCCTCCCAACACCCCCGCCATAATCCCCGTAATCATCATAATCACCACCCCCATCCTCACCAGAGTCTCCCCCATCGTCACTAGGGAAGGGATAGAGGAACTGAGCCCATGGCTTGATGGCATCTGCCATGCCTGGTGGTTCCCACTCTGTGGTGGGGCCGTGGAAAGAAAGAGAGAGAGGGGCAGGAGCTGTGGCTGAAGGCTGGTTGCTCTTGTTGGCAATACTGCTGCTGGCGAGGCTCATGCTCGTGGTGCTGCCGCCGCTGCTGCTGCTTCTGCTGCTGCTGGTGCTGCTGGTGGTGGTGGTGGTGGTGGTGCTGCTGCTGCTGCTGCTGCTGCTGCGAATGGCAGCCATAGCCTTGGCACTGGGAACACAGGGACAGAGGGAAAGAGGGACAGGGCGACAGAGGGGCAGAGGGATAGGCGGGCAGGGTGAGAGGAGAACAAAGGCATGGATGGATAGAGACAGAGGGGGAGGGAGACAAGGGGACAACGGACAAGGGGACAGAAGGACAAAAAAAACAACAAGAATCAACATTCCTTGGCTGCCAGATTGCCATTAGAGACCGAGTTTTGGGATGTCCCAAAACACCTTCACAGATACGTGAAAGCCACTCTCACATGCCAGCACAGGTCACTCCCTTCCGTTCCCTTACGTGCAGGTGGAAAGCAGGGTGCCTCGAAGCGGCATCCTTTGCCCGACACCCATGCACTGCACCGCACGCCCATGCACTGCACCGCACGCCCATACGCTGCGCCGCCCGCACGCCGCACCGCCCGCACACTGCACCGTCCGCCCATACGCTGCACCACACGCTCTTACTTGAACTGCAGTCCCAGCTTGGGGACTGGAGCTGCAGTCCCAGCTTGCGGACTGCACCGCGCGCTCATACAATGCACCGCCCGCTCATACACTGCACCGCACGCACATACACTGCACCGCATGCTCTTACACTGCACCACACGAATCCGCACCCCTTGACCATCACCCAGCCGTTGCGGCTGATATCCATCCCATACGCGTTCGTTTTCCTGACGTGCAGGTCAAAGTGAACGTGGCCTCCTCGTCCCCTTAAGCTGCAAGTACAACTCACTCCCTTCCCTTCCCTTCCCTTCCCTTCCCTTCCCTTCCCTTCCCTTCACTTACGTGCAGGTGGAGGGGAGAGTGCCCACAAAGCGGCACCCCTTGACTGTCACCCCACCGTTGCGGCTTATGTCCATCCCATACGCATTCTCCACAAATGCACCGTTCTCCACCACTATGCGATCCGTGTTGACAAAGAGGATGCTGGGAGGAGGGAAGAGAAAGGAAGGTCAAGAAGGCCAAGACGAGACAGGAGCAACATGTGGCCTTGCGTCAACACACAAATGCTTCATTACCCACTATGCGATCCGTGTTCACAAAGAGAATGCTCGGGGGGGAGGGGAATTATCGAGGAGAGAAGACCAAGAAGGTCGTGAAGGGACGGAAAGGGACAGGTGGGCTTGAGTCAATTCACAAATGCACCGTTCTCCACCACTAAGTCATCCGTGTTCACTAAGAGGACAAGAACAAGGGACAAGGGAGGACGGGGGAACGAAGGATGGATATTGTATTCTCCACAAATGCACCGTTCTCCACCACTCTGCAATCCCTGTTCACAAAGAGGATGCTGGGAGGAGAAGAACAGGGGACAAGGGAGGACGGGCAAAGGGACTTTTAGTGGAAAGATAGAAATACGCACTGTCAGGTTTAGTTTTGAGGCGCCTCAAAACAAGGGAGGACGGGCAAAGGGGCTTTTAGTGGAATGATAGAAATGCGCAGAGAGTTTTGAGTCGACTCAAAAGGCACTGTCATGTCAGGTTTGACTCACCAAGCCTAGTTCCAATAAAAGAGAGCGTGTCCATGAGGTACGTGATCACGCCAGTGTAGTTGAAAAGCATGTTTTGAGACGTCTCAAAACAAGCCTAGTTCCAATGAAAGAGAGCGTGTCCATGAGGTGCGTGATCACGCCAGTGTAGTTGAGGTAGCGGATTTCAAGACTCCAATTGTTCAGTAATGAAGGCTTTGACTCACCCCACGGCTTTGACTCACCCCACGGCTTTGACTCACCCCACGGCTTTGACTCACCCCACGGCTTTGACTCACCCCACGGCTTTGACTCACCCCACGGCTTTGACTCACCCCACGGCTTTGACTCACCCCACGGCTTTGACTCACCCCACGGCTTTGACTCACCCCACGGCTTTGACTCACCCCACGGCTTTGACTCACCCCACGGCTTTGACTCACCCCACGGCTTTGACTCACCCCACGGCTTTGACTCACCCCACGGCTTTGACTCACCCCACGGCTTTGACTCACCCCACGGCTTTGACTCACCCCACGGCTTTGACTCACCCAGCCTTGTTGCGATAAAGGAGGGCGTCCTTGAGATACGTAATCACGCCAGTGTAGTTGGGGAAGCGGGACTGCGACCCGTGGGGGTATGTGCGGAAGCCAAAGAGCGAGGAGTGCGCGACATTACCCACATACTCTCCCCAGTTGAACCTGCACATTCGAGGTGAGGAGGGGCGAGAAGAGTGTGTCCTTGAGATGAGGAATCATGCCAGTGTAGCCGGGGAAGCGGGACTACGAGCCGTGGGGGTATGTGCGGAAGCCAAAGAGCGAGGAGTGGGCAACATTGCCCACATAGTCCCCCCAGTTGAACCTGCAGATGCATGCACGGTGGTGGGAGAACGGGTGCGAGGAAGCAGGGGCAATGTGATAGGGAGGGATGTGAGTGAGACAGCAGGAAAACGGATTAACAAGGGTGAGCGACCCAAAGGCGTTGCTGATGGCAGGCAGCAGGCGCGAGATGCCCCGCATGGTGGGGTGCGCACCCCCACATACCATGCTCACATAGCCACATTCCCCCACGCCCGGACAAAACTCACAACCCCCACGCCCCCACGCCCACCTGTCAGGCCGTTTGTTGCCGATGGCAGGCAGCAGGCGGGAGATGCCCCTCATGGTGGGGTTGGCCTCCAGCCAGAAGCTGAGGGGGTGACAGGGGGAAAGACAAAGGGGAGCGACAAGGCGGTTAGTGAGAGGAGGAGGTGCTGGGAGGTGATGTTACTCTTGAGAATTCTCAAAAGTCACATCAACGTGGGGAGATGCCCCGCATGGTGGGGTTGGCCTCCAGCCAGAAGCTGGCACGATGGGAGAAGAGAATGTGGGGAGAGGGGGTTTGGGGGGTGTTGACAGTTGGCAATGGAAGAATAAGCTCGACTTGACTCAAAATATCTCGAATCGACTCGATTCCACTCTGTATTAGAATCCTCTGTACTCGATTCCACTCACCCGCTGTTCTCCGACCCAGCAGCCACGTCCCCATAGAAGCTATTGAAGGGCGTTGCCAGCCAGAACCTGCTTGGCTGCTTGTCCGTGTGAAACCCATACCGGTCCGTCGTGTCCCGGGGAATCGTGAGTGAGGTGTTTGAGGTGCCTGAAACAAAACACAACCTCCCCACTCCACTCAACTCCACTCAACTCCACTCCACTCCACTCCACTCCACTCCACTCCACTCACCCGCTGTTCTCGGACCCAGCAGCAACGTTCCCATAGAAGCTATTGTAAGGAGTGGCCATCCAGAACACGCTCGGCTGCTTGTCCGTGTGGAACCCATACTGATCACTTGTATCCGGGGGGATCTCCTTCTCCACCTTCCTCACACTCATCCCCAGGTTCCTCCGAAACACGTTCCCCATCTCCGACCCCTCCTCCACCAGGTAACAGTGCCCCTTGGTCTCATAGGTGATATTATCCTCTATGTTCATGTTGCTGGTCGCGTGGATCACCATGCACCGCTGCTTCGAGTGCACGATCGCGTTCTTGCGCACGATGTGCGGCTGGGATGCGTCCGCGGGGAGCCTGCACACGTGGAAGTGAAGCGGGTAGCGCCCGAGCGTGCCTTGGTTGCCTAGTCCGCGGAACTGAACCCCCTCGATGGTTTGAGGAGTGCGAGTCATATAGACCATGAAGTGCCCGCCTGGTGGGGGGGAAGGAAGACAACGAGGGGAAAGGAAGGGTGAAAGGAGGATGCGTCCGCGGGGAGCCCGCACACGTGGAAGTGAAGGGGGTAGCGGCCGAGCGTGCCTTGGTTGCCTAGTCCGCGGAACTGAACACCTTCGATGGTTTGAGGAGTGCGAGTCATATAGACCATGAAGTGCCCGCCTGTTGGGGGGGGAAGGAAGACAACGAGGGGAAAGGAAGTTGTTTTCCGCGGGGAGCCTGCACACGTGGAAGTGAAGCGGGTAGCGGCCGAGGGTGCCTTGGTTGCCCAGCCCTCGGAACTGAGCCCCCTCGATGGCTTGAGGGGTGCGCGTCATGTATACCATGAAGTGCCCGCCTGGTAGGGGTGGGGGGGTTGGCGGGGAGAGGAAGGGGGGGGAGGAGGGGGGAAAGAGGGGACAACAGGGAAAAGAGGGCTCAGGGAAAAGAGGGCTCAGGGAAGGGCTCATGGAAAAGAGGGCTCAGGGAAAAGAGGGCTCAGGGGAAAGAGGGCTCAGGGAAAAGAGGGCTCAGGGAAAAGAGGGCTCAGGGAAAAGAGGGCTCAGGGAAAAGAGGGCTCAGGGAAAAGAGGGCTCAGGGAAAAGAGTTTAAACAGCGGTGAGTGGGCTGGGATGCGTCCGCGGGGAGCCCACAGACATGGAAGTGGCGGGGGTAGCGGCCGAGGGTGCCTTGGTTGCCGAGTCCTCTGAACTGAACCCCCTCGATTGCTTGAGGAGTGCGAGTCATGTATACCATGAAGTGCCCGCCTGGAGAAGGGGAGAGGACGGGATGACAGGAGATGAGAGAGAGGCTGCACACGTGGAAGTGTAGTGGAGCGGGTAGTAGCGGCCAAGGGTGCCTTGGTTGCCCAGCCCTCGGAACTGAATCCCCTCGATGGCTTCCTGGGTGCGAGTCATGTATACCATGAAGTGGCCCCCTGGTTTGAGGTCGAGAGGGAAAAGGGAAAAAACAGGGGGAGAGGAAGGGGGTAGAGGAGGGGGGAGACAGGAGGGGAAAAAGTGGGCCTTAATTCAAACAGTGGCGAGTGGGCCCAGCCCTCGGAACTGAACCCGCTCGATTGCTTGCTGGGTGTGCGTCATGTACACCATGAAGTGCCCGCCTGGTTGTTGGGGAGGAAGGGAGGAAGGGGGGGAGATAAGGGGGGATTGCAGTGAGTGGGGTGGGTGGGGTGAGGTCCCAGCCCTCGGAACTGACCCCCCTAGATTGCTTGCTGGGTGCGAGTCACGTCACGTCCATGAAGTGAGTGTGACCCCCTGGGTTTGGGGTTGCTTGCTGGGTGTGAGTGTGACCCCCTGGGTTTGGGGTTGCTTGCTGGGTGTGAGTGTGACCCCCTGGGTTTGGGGTTGCTTGCTGGGTGTGAGTGTGACCCCCTGGGTTTGGGGTTGCTTGCTGGGTGTGAGTGTGACCCCCTGGGTTTGGGGTTGCTTGCTGGGTGTGAGTGTGACCCCCTGGGTTTGGGGTTGCTTGCTGGGTGTGAGTGTGACCCCCTGGGTTTGGGGTTGCTTGCTGGGTGTGAGTGTGACCCCCTGGGTTTGGGGTTGCTTGCTGGGTGTGAGTGTGACCCCCTGGGTTTGGGGTTGCTTGCTGGGTGTGAGTGTGACCCCCTGGGTTTGGGGTTGCTTGCTGGGTGTGAGTGTGACCCCCTGGGTTTGGGGTTGTGAGAGCAAGGGGGAAAGGAAAAGGGGACAGCATGGGAGGGAGTAGAGGGGAGCGGAAAATGGGGCATGAAGAGGAAACAGGGGGAGTTTATTCAACAGGGAGTGGTGAGTGGGGTCAACAGGGAGGCTGCAGGCGAGCAAGTGCAGGGGGTAGCCATCGACCACCAGGTGACTTTTGAGTCGACTCAAAAGGCAAGTGCAGGGGGTAGCGAGCGACCACCGACTGAATTGGTGTGGAGCAGGCTCGTCCGTGCCCTGAATGACAAGCAGGCTCGTCCGTGCCCTGAATGACAAGCGTGTGTGTGCTACTGCACAGACAGCCTAAACTTACAGCCTCTATTACTGTGCCCAAAAGCAGCCCAAGCGTGTGTGCTGCTGCTGCACGGACAATCGTACAGCCTAAGCTCCCAGCCTAAACTCATAGCCCAAACTTACAGCCTAAACTCACAGCCTAAACTTACAGCCTAAACTTACAGCCTAAACTCACAGCCTCAACTTACAGCCTCTATCACTCACAGCCTCTATCACTGTGCCCGAAAGTAGCCCAAGCGTGTGCGCCCCTCACATACTGTCGTACTGGTGGGGAGGATGCTCGTCCGTGCCCTGAATGACAAGCGTGTGTGTTACGCACTGACAGTCCAAACCTTCAGCCTTATAGAGGGGGCCTAACTAACAACCCAAGTGTCTTTTGAGTCGACTCAAAAGTCAGCCTTATAGAGGGGGCCTAACTAACAACCCAAGTGTGCGCTTCACGTACCGTCGTACTGGTGAGGAGGAAGCTCGTCCGTGCCCTGGATGACGATCTGCCTATCAAGCAGCGCCACCTCAGCACGAATATCCACCATGCCACCGAAGCCATCGGGCACCGATGTACCCTCATGCGTGTGGGCGAGGGGTGATGTGAGGGTGATGCGGGAGGTGGGGGGGGAGGTGGCTGGAGAGACCAGGGCGACTGTTGTGAGAGGGGGAACGGAGAGGGGAGCAAGGGGCAGAGAGGGAAGGGAGGATGGGGCGAGCTGAGCGTGAAAAGATTAGCACGAATGTCCACCGTGCCACCAAAGCCATCCGGCACCGATGTACCCTCGTGCGTGTGGGCGAGGGGTGATGTGAGGGTGATGCGGGGGAGGTGGCTGGAGAGACCAGGGCGACTGTTGTGAGAGGGGGTGGGGGAGATGGGAGATGGGATGGGAGGGAGCGGAGGGGCGGTGGCCGCAGTGATGGTGCGAGGAGTGGCTAGGGACGTGGCTGGGGAGACTTTCTGAGAATTCTCAAAAACTCCCTGCTATGGGGGGCGCAGTGATGGTGATGCGAGGAGTGGCTAGGGACGTGGCTGGGGAGACCAGGGCGACTGTTGTGAGGGCGAAGAAGAGAGAGGGAAGGAGAAGGGGAGGGTGGGGCACTACTGATGTTGGTACCACCAAAGCCATCGGGCACCCATCAGTTGCATGCCCCAAAGCACGCACACATATTGCTAATCGGGCCCACCGGCTTCGATCTCTCGGCTCTCTGCCTCTTCGAAATCCGTGTTGGTCGATGCAAGCAACAGCAACAGAGAGCCCCGGGCGCCACCCCCTCACATCGCCCTCAACAGTCAGCTGCCTCTGCCCCGCTGCTGCTGTAGCTGCACGCCCCTCCATGCCCCTCCATGCCCCTGCATGCCCCTCCATGCCCCTCCATGCCCCTCCATGCCCCTGCATGCCCCTGCATGCCCCTCCATGCCCCTGCATGCCCCTCCATGCCCCTCCATGCCCCTCCATGCCCCTCCATGCCCCTCCATGCCCCTCCATGCCCCTCCATGCCCCTCCATGCCCCTCCATGCCCCTCCATGCCCCTCCATGCCCCTCCATGCCCCTCCATGCCCCTCCATGCCCCTCCATGCCCCTCCATGCCCCTCCATGTCCCTCCATGCCCCTCCATGCCTCTGCATGCCCCTGCATGCCCCTCCATGCCCCTCCATGCCCCTCCATGCCCCTCCATGCCCCTCCATGCCCCTCCATGCCCCTCCATGCCCCTCCATGCCCCTCCATGTCCCTCCATGCCCCTCCATGCCCCTCCATGCCCCTCCATGCCCCTCCATGCCCCTCCATGCCCCTCCATGTCCCTCCATGCCCCTCCATGCCCCTCCATGCCCCTCCATGCCCCTCCATGCCCCTCCATGCCCCTCCATGCCCCTCCATGCCCCTCCATGCCCCTCCATGTCCCTCCATGCCCCTCCATGCCTCTGCATGCCCCTGCACGCCCCTGCATAGCCTCCTCAGAGCACACCCAATGACTCACCTGATCCGATCTCTCGGCTCTCTGCCTCGTTAAAGTTAGTACTCGTAGAAGCAACAGCAATAGAGAGGCCTGGGCGCCACCCCCTCACATCCCCTTCAACAATCAGCTGCCTCTGCCCCGCTGCTGCTGTTGCTGCCAGTCGCACCCACGAGGGGGTGTCAGCTCCCCCCGGCATGCCATGCAAGTCCACCTGTCCTCCCACCTGGTTAGCAAAAAGAGAAACACGGACAAGCATAAGTGGTTGCATTCAGGGGTGCGTGTTAGTGTTTGTATACCACGACTCCTCCTCCTCCTCCCTCTGCTGCTGTTGCTGCCAGCCGCACCCAGGAGGGAGTGTCGGCTCCCCCCGGCATGCCATGCACGTCCACCTGTCCTCCCACCAGGCGAGTGCGTGTGTTGTGAGAGTTGACAGACAAGGGCGAGTCCAAAGGTGACTTTTGAGTCAACTCAAAAGTCGCCATGCAGGTTCACCTGCCCTCCCACCTGGCGAGTGTGTGTGTTGTGAGAGTTGACTGACAGACAAGGGTGAGTCCAAAGGGTCATACACACTCAGATCTTCTGACAACTTCCAGTGAGCAGCGATGCTTAGGTTTAGGCTTAATCAAGTGCTAAACAGCACGCTATGCAATGCCTCACTGGAAGACGTCAGAAGACCTGGCGAGTGCGTGTGTTGTGAGAGATGACAGACAAGGGCGAGTCCAGGGGGTCATGGAGCCCCAAGTAGGAGGCATGGCGTAGCGTGGCAGCAGCGGTGTTTTGCTGAACAGACAAGGGCGATTCCAGAGGGTCATGCACACTCAGACATAGTTAAGGGTGCGGTATTGGGTGCGTTCAGGGGTGAATTCTGGGGGGGCATTCTTCGGTGCATTCAGGGGTGCATTCTGGGGCGTATTCAGGAATGGGTGTGCATTCAGTGCATTCAGGGGTGCAATCAGGGGTACATTCAGGGGTGCATTCAGGGGTGAATTCAGGGGTGCAATCAGGGGTGAATTCAGGGTGCATTCTGGATTGCATTCAGGGGTGTATTCATGGGTGCAACCAGGGGTCCATTTGAACGTACCACAGCAAACGCCTTGTGCCCCAGGTCTCGGGGGTTTCTCGCGTCAGCGGGCGGCACTTTTCGGAGCTTGTACGGCTTCCTTCCGCCCGAGAATCCCGTGTTAGGGTGCAGGGTGACCGTGAGATGCGAGGAAAGCTGGCGGGCCGCGGAGCCTGCAGTGAAGCGCCCCATAACGAGGATAAATCGGGCCCTGACGCGGATGTGAGGAAGCTTGGGCGAGTCAAGGACCCTTGATGGAGGAGATGGAGGGGAGAGGAGGAAGGGAGGGGAGGGGGAATGGAAAAGGATGCAAGAACCATAGAAGCATCCCATAATGAGGATAAAACGGGCCCTAACGCGGATGTGGGGCAGCTTGGGCGAGTCAAGGACCCTGGAGGGAGGAGATGGAGGGGAGGGTGTGGGGGGGAGGGAGGGAGGGGGGAAAAGGGGGATGGATTAATGGAAGTCTGTGCAAAGAACATCGAGGCACCCAATGGCGAGGATGGAGTGGAGTGTGCCTTGACGTTCGTGTGGGGGAGCCTGGCTGCCTGGGCGAGTCAAGGACCCTGGCCTGGAAGGGAGGAAGTGGAGGGGGGATGGGAGGATTGAATGTGTGAGTCGATTTACAAGACAGTGAAGTGGCTGTAACGAGATATGCGGAAGCTTGGGAGATCCAAGGACCCTGGAGGGAGGAGTGGAGTCGGTAAGGGTGTGAGACTGGGGGAGAGGGTTGAGTTGAGCGTGAGCTTACATAAGAAACGGTACTCACACTCACTCACAGAAATCACACTCAAAGCAGTGACAGTCACACCACTCACACCCACACTCAAACCTGCACTCTTTAATCCTTTAATCTTGAGCCTCCCAACCCTCACTTCAGGCACATCCAGCAGGATGGCCGCGCCACACGGGGAGGGAGAGGGGAGTGTCGCGCTTTTAACACATAGCCTGCGGCTAAGTGTGAATTGCACAGCAGCTTAAGGTGAGGTTGTACTATATTGCTGTTTGGTTCTTGTACTCATACTTTCGTTTGTGTGCTTGGAATGTACTGTACATATATGGAGCCGAGCAGGGTGGAGAAGCTCGAGGAATTTGGTGGGGACAGGGTGGAATTCGATTCCAGGCTGGGAATTCGATTCCAGGCTGGGAATTCGGTTCCAGGCTGGGAATTCGATTCAGAGAATGCAATTCCAGCTGGAAGTCGGTGCATGCCTAGTGGGCCACTGGGACCCAGCTAGCACCTAGAAGCTATCGCGAGCAGCACTGCTGCTATGCGACTTGGCAACTAGAGTTAGCTTGTGGGACAAGCAACCTAGGCAGAAGGATGGCTGGGACTTAGGCAGGGGAGGATACCTGCTCCGTGCTTTTTGCTTGTTTGTTTCTCGTAATACTGCAATTCGTTTCCCAACCAAGGAGGCAAGCAGCTAGGAGAAGCTAACAGCAAACTGACGGAGCCCTTGCGAGGGAGGATTTAGACTTGATGTGCAGCCTGAGAAACAAGGAGAAGGCAGGAGCAGCATCATCACATACACCAGGAGGAAGAAGAGGCAGACAGGCGGCACCGGGACAGGCAAGCAGGCATGAGAGGATGAGGGTGAGAGAGGAGGTGGAAGTACCTGTCAGGAAGAAACAGGGAATTTGAGAAAGAGGAAGAGAAGAACAGTCGGAAGAGCAGAAGGAGGGGAGCTACTTCACGACAGGAGGGAGGGGGAAGAGAGAAGGGGAGCGCTACCAACTCAGCCTACAGCAGCCACACTCACAGGACTCACTCACACCACTTACAATAACACTACTCACACTTGCACTCACTTGAGCCACCCTTTGATCTTGGGCTTTCCAACCCTCACGTCAGTCACATCCAGCAGGATGGCCGCGCCACACAGGGAGGGAGAAGAGGGAGAGAGGGGGAAGAGAGCGGAAGCACTACCAATTGATCCTACACAGAGCTCACACTCGAACCGCTCGCACTCACTTGAGCCACCCCTTGATCTTGAGCCTCCCAACTCTCACTTCAGGCACATCCAGCAGGATGGCCGCACCACACGGTATAGTCACATCCCGCCACTGCAGCAGCCCGCGTCCCGGCACACCCAGGCGGAAGGGCCACCCCTTGGGCTTCTTGTCCCAGGGGAGTAGCGACTGCTTTCCCCACGTGTTGGGATCGCTCCACCGCTTCCAGCCTGCGTAAACAAGCAGAGAGGTAAGACCAGGTAAGACTATCATCTTCTTGCCACACACCCACCCACGCACGCCCAGGCGGAAGGGCCACCCTTTGAAAGACTGCTTTCCCCACGTGCTGGGGTCGCTCCACCGCTTCCATCCTGGTTGAGGAGCAGCGGAGGGACCGGAGGATTGGAAAGAAGAGAGTAAGATAGCCTGCTTTCAGCTCCTTGCGCCACGCACAGGAGAGCAGAGACTGTTTTCCCCCCCACGTGTTGGCGTCGCTCCACCGCTTCCAGCCTGCGAAACACACAGAGGAGGGACTAGGGAATTAAGGAGAAGAGAGAAAGAGAGTTGTCAGCTTCTTGCGCTGCTCCCAGGAGATCAAGGAGTGCTTTCCCCACGTGCTGGGGTCGCTCCACCGCTTCCAGCCTGCGAAACACACAGAGGAGGGACTAGGGAATTAAGGAGAAGAGAGAAAGAGAGTTGTCAGCTTCTTGCGCTGCTCCCAGGAGATCAGGGACTGCTTTCCCCACGTGCCGGGGTCGCTCCACCGCTTCCAGCCTGCGTGAAGCATGGAGGGGAGGGGACAGGGAGGAGACGCAGCGAAGGGACTGGGACATTGGGTAGGACGGAGACACTCACAGACGGGCTTGTAGGCCTCACACACGCGGAATGGAGCAGCCGCGACCAGACGGGCTTGTGTTTTGAGGTGCACTGTGTAAAGTACGCACCATGACGTGGGGGGTTGGCAGGAAGACCCCCACAGACGGGCTTGTAGGCGTCAGTCACGCGGAACGGAGCAGCCGCGACCAGACACACTCCGGACGACAGACGGCCTTTTGAGTCGACTCAAATGTCGACCGGGCGCACTCAGCGCAACAGGCGGCTGGGGAATCCGGGAGGAGAAGGAGAGGGTGGGACGAGGAGGAAGAGAAGGAGAAGAAAAAGTACGCACCGTGGCGAGGGGGGTTGGCAGGGAGACCCCCACAGACGGGCTTGTAGGCGTCAGTCACGCGGAACGGAGCAGCCGCGACCAGACACACTCCGGACGAAAGACGGCCATGGAAGCCGGGTGTGGGTGGGACGAGGAGGAGGAGAAGGATGGGGAGGAGGAGGAGGGTGTGTAGGGACGGGAATGCAGCCTTTTGGCGACGGAGGGATTGGAGGAGGTGTTTGCGACGATGTTGAGTCGGTGGGTTCACACGATGCTGGGACTGGAGATTGCGACCGTCAAGACAAGGATTGGAGACTGCCATGAGCGTAGCTACTGCTGTACGCGTTTTAAGGAGGTTTCGTGGCTGGTGGTGTTGCTGCATTCGCAAGCGCGTTATTTTATGGTAACACCATGTAAGGTGTTAAGAATAGCTAACTGGTCTAGCGAAGGACTGTCAGACTGGCAACAGACGATTCGACTATATATCCAGCTTATTATGTTCTCCTAGCCTTATTAGATGGTAATAATGCTGGCTTATTTGACTAATGAAACTTGCCTAGAAAAACTACGAAGCTGGTCCTAACGGTCAGCTTATCTGTATAATCTGATGAGGCTTTCTATATTGAGGTTCATATGCGCGGCTGTCGCGGAAGTCGTCTGGAACGTGGTTACAGACGTCGCGAGAAACAGCTTCTACAGCGTGGTACGTGCGACCTGTGCGTGCGACTACCGCGGTAACCACCGCAGAGAGAGGGACCGTCACTATTGAAGGGTCGAAAATCCATGGCCTTCCGCAACAACCGGCTTGCCTTGGTCTAGCAAGCGTGAAGCAGAGCGAGAGCCGCGACTCGGCATCTCAGAGCTGGACGAATCAACGGTCAAGCAAGAGGCACCAGTTCAGATGTAACTAATCAACGTTCAAACGACGATTCGCGAACAGACGTTCAAGCAACATCTCGGCGTGAATTGACAGTCTTTATAATGGGAGTCTGAACGAAAGCGGTCGAAACGCTACTGCAGTCATGGCAGTGCTCGGACGACAGCAGAACTGTGCAGGAGCGCTTGAGAAACGCTATCAGCTAGCACTCCGATGCCTGCCTACTGCTAGAGACGCCTGATAAGCGGCAATGCTGTAAAGGCTATCCTTCCTGATTTGCGTGCTCACTATCAGCAACACTCTCTGGTCAGCACACACACTAGTGTAGTCGTCGTGACTGCTTTCGGCTGTTCTTGCACTCTCTGCACTATCAAGCTTCATGGTGGAAAGGAGAAAACATTCACGCAAGTGGTTCAAAGTGGTGAGGCAATGGAACCAGTCTAAAGTGTACATAATCTTTCTCAACCGCTCCGCTTCAACTCAGCACAATGACTTCGGGTTTTTATACGGGCAGTCACACAAATTTCGTAGTTATCACGAGCAGTCACATGTTCCTCGAAATCTATCATGAGCGGTCACATGTTCCGCCAAATCTATCACGAACCATCACATGGGTATCACCCGCCGTCACTCAAAGTCACTAAATTCTATCACGGGTAGTCACACTCGAAACTTTGCTATCACAGATGAGCCGTCTCATCATTTCGTTGACCCGCCCTATAACACTGTACAGATTTAGGGACTACATTTCGGATTGCTAGTTTTTGTCTTGTATACGCGACCATTTTGGGTGCAAAGATACCTGGCTACGTTCTATCCGACGTTCATATACCTATTATATATATACATATATCATATATAATATATAATATATATTTATAGAGTTCACAGTTCATTGAATCGGCCTAAATGTTTATCAAGGTGCGAAGAAAACATAACTTAGAATTTTTCACGGGCCAAAATTCATATCAAGATGCGTATGCACATCTTGATGAACATTTAGGCAGATTCAATTAAATTGTGAACTCTAGCAATATATATATAGATATATATATATATGCATTCAAACTGTGTTACTTCGATTCGAACTTAACCAGGTATCTTTGCACCCAAAATTGTCGCGTATACAAACAAAAACCAGCAACCCGAAATATAGTCCCTAAATCTGTACAGTATTACAAGGCGGGTCAACAAAATGATGAGAGGGCTCATCTGTGATAGCAAAGTTTCGAGTGACTACTCGTGAATCCGTGATAGAATTTAGTGCCTTTGAGTGACGGCGGGTGATACCCGTGTCAGTTCGAGATAGATTTTGCGGAACATGTGACCGTTCATGATAGATTTTGCGGAGCATGTGACTGCTCGTGATAACTACGAAATGTTTTGTGACGGCGCATATAAAAACCCATGACTTCCACTACTTAGACGGGCAGTTGTGCTCACTCACCATCCTACAGTAGCAATGTCCATTTTATTCCCGTTACAGGTCGTCGGTCAGAACCTGGACTCGTTATGCGCACCGCGATGACCCAGAATTGCTGGTGCTGTTGCTGCACTCACAATGGCTCGCCGTATCAGACTCGGCGGCACTCCGAGTCTTCTGGATGGAACGATTGGTTCGTCTGGTGCTTCATGTCACATTCTTGAGGCTTGTCACCATCACCACCCCTCGAAATTGCACATTTTTTTTTAGTATTCTGTTTCGATCGTTTATTACAGCACCACATTTACGGTAACTCGAGACCATTCCTAAACCAAATATCATCCAAAATTGAAAATTTTGGAAAGCTCTGTGCTTAATACAAAGCTGTTGTATAAAGTATTAGTAGCCTACATATCAGGTTACTTGGCAATGCGCTCTCTCAACACATCCATGACACTTCCCAAGTTGTCCTTCACGCTCACAGGAGGGTTGGCAAACGTCGACACCATACCAGAAATCTCATTCGAGTGATACGCCACCTGAACGCATCACAAAAAAAATTGATACAGGTTATCCAGAGAAGACAAGGATTTCCATCAAAGGTCAACCCCAAACGTCACACTCCATTTTTCCCTGGTTGAGCTTCAGTGCTTTCCAGGTTAATTGCCTTACCTTGGATTGGGCGAACTTGAGGCCGTGTGCTGTGCTGACCACCACCGTGCGATCATTGGGACCAATCACTCCCCGACTGCGCAGCTTCTTCAGAGCTGCCAGAGCCACCTGCAGGAGGGAAAGGGAAGAGAAAAGAGAAAAAAAATCAGCATATCCGGTATGTGCAGCCTGAGAGGAAATGAGCAGAAAAACCTACAGACAACACAAAAAGTTCACATAGCCCTGCACTTTGGAGGAGCAGATACAAGAGAAAAAGGGCACTCACTCCTGTGTGTGGGCAGTTGAACATGCCAGTGAGATCCGCCTCTGCTGCAGCGTCCATGAGCTCTTGCTCGGTAGCCTCTTCCACTATGCCATTGGATGCCTGGTCAGGGAGAGGAGAGAAAATTGGGAAGGGAGACCGGACACGAGGGAAGGTGGGGAGGTTGAGTGGGAGAAAGCAGGGAGGCATCATCTGCTTCTGCCACAGCGTCCATGAGCTCTTAATCCATAGCCTCCTCCACTATGCCATTGGATGCCTGGTGAGGGCAAGGGACAGGATCAAACATGCTTGAATGGAGCAAACATACCCAGCACAGGCCCAGAGAACATCCCACCACTCCCACCAAACAGTTGAAATATCAGAGCATATCAGGGCCAAGATTGAGTGCATCAGAGCTCAGCCTACCTTCAGCATGAAGATGGCTCGGTCGATGGACACAGGGTCGCCAATCTGGATGGCAGAGGAAAAAACTTCTGTACCCACCTTCAGCGCAAAGATAGCTTGGTCGATGGACACAGGGTCGCCAATCTGGATGGCAGGGGAAAAAACTTCTGTACCCACCTTGAGCGCAAAGATAGCTCGGTCGATGGACACAGGGTCGCCAATCTGGATGGCAGAGGCGAAGGTCTGCGTTGCCCGCACCGGCTCAAACTGCTCAAAGCCCTTCTGAAACGACAGGTAGAGCGGATTCGCGTTGGCTGCCTGCGCACACACCTGTTGGGGGAGAGACAGAGGGCGCGACAGGGAGACACATAGAGATGCCAAGTTACAGGCCATTTGGGCTGGGTGAAAGGGCATGATCGTACACTTGAAACGAGAAGCACTGAAGGGGTCAGCACCGTAGTAATTCATGAGTCAACACAAAAGTTCAGTCAGGGATAACTGTGATGAAAGTGTGCTCATCATTCCCCTTCCAGAAGCAAGGAAAAAAATATCAGTTGCAGGGAGACAGATACAGAAACAGTTGTAGAGCGTAACAGCAGACAGCAGGTGGGTCTCGTGGCATCAGATAGGGGCGAAAATAAGCTTTTCACGGACACAAATGTGTCTCATCTGAACTATGCATAGCTTCAATCAACATTTGCCAGAGTCACTTGCTCCCACACCCACCAAAAAAACTTCAACCCAATCCACCCCAACACAACCCAGACAATACCTTGATAGAGCAAACTGAAAGCCTTCCCACACCTACCGACTAAATCAGGAGGGTCAGCACCGTAGTAATTTTGAGTCAACACGGAAGTTCAGTCAGGGATAACTGTGATGAAAAAGTGCTCATCATACCCTCCCTCTCTAGTCCTCTCATTATAACCTGCTCCTCCCTACCTGAGCTCTAGAATCCCACCTCATCTCTAGTGACAATAACGAGGGTCAGCACCGTAGTAATTCATGAGTCAACACAAAAGTTCAGTCAGGGATAACTGTGTGAAAGTGTGCTCATCATACCCTCCCTTCTCTCCAGCCCCGTCCCCTCCTCCCTACCTGGCTATTGAATCCCACCTAATCACAAGTAACAATAACAAGGGTCAGCGCCTTAGTCATTTTGAAGTCAACATGAGAAAATCTTAGTGTGATAAGAAAATGCTCATCATGCCCTCACTCAGCATCCCTACCTTCAAACTGTCCCAAACATCACTCAAACCCTTCAATGCATCAACCAATGTACAGAGACGACGTACTAAGAGACGCACAGGAGGAAACGAGGGAAAAGAAACAGGGACGGAGAGAAACGAGCAGCAGAAGTAGCGGTGACAGCTGAAGAAAACGGGGGGTTTGTGGCATCAGATAGGGGCGAAACAAAAGTTTTCCCGGACGCACGAGTGCGTCTCATCTGAACTATGCATACTTCAATCAACATCTGCCACGCTGACCGCCCCAAGGGAGAGAAAAGAAGACAAAAGACAGGATGACCACCCCGACTGACCCCTGGTTTCACTCTCGTCTCCCAAAGCTTCAAATCATCAGGCCTCAGTAACGTGGTTTATCAACAGGCGGAGATTCAGCCATATGCTTGTCAATTATTTTGAAATCATCCACGGCCGCACTAGACGAGGGTACCAGTTGAGAGGTGTAATAGAGCCTCGAACCCGCTCAACACCAGCACAAGATAGGCGGCACAAAGACCAGAAGAAAATGGAAGAAACCATCCCACTCTGGTAACCTTACCAGGGGAAGCAACGAGAACGACGCTGGAGAAACTGAACGGGCAAAACATGCGGCTTCTCTCGACTAGAGCTTCACGACAGAAGCAGCAGGGTCTCAGTGACAAAGTTTATCAACAGGCAGTGATTCAGCCATATGCTTGTCAATTAATTTGTAATCATCCACGGCCCTCGCAAGATGAAGATATCAGTTAGACGTGCAATAGAGACTCAATCTCGTTCTTACAGCCAGCAGGCGGTAGGACGCAAAGGCAGGAAACACATGAGTGGGAATATCTTCCCAAACTGGTACCCTTATCCGGTTAAGCAAGAATAAAGGGGCTAAACATACGGCTTCTCTTGACTAGAGCTTCACGACAGAAGCAGCAGGGTCTCAGTAACAAGGTTTATCAACAGGCGGTCATTCAGCCATATGCTTGTCAATGTTTTGAAATCATCCTCGGCCCCGTTTACAGCGTGGCCAATTCGGCGATAAAGTCCCGAGTGAAGGGAGAGGGGGATGGGAGAGAAGAGGAGAGAATGGGACAAGCGAGGAGGGGAGAAGGGGCATGGTGCACGGAAGGGAAAGCGCGGCGACGAGAAGCTCTACTCACCAGGCGGGGAATGCGGTCGACGAGGCCCATCTCCTTGCACATGTAGAAGCCCTTGTAGAACGCGTAGATGTTGCCCAGATTGCCTGCGAAGGGATACCACAGAGAGAAGGTCAGATGAAAGCCAGTGTTAAAACTCGGTTAAAAAAAACGCACGCTTGTACAAAACGTGGATGTTGCCCAAATTGCATGTAATGACAAAAGCAGAGGGTAGAGCACGTTAGAAACAGCAGGAAGATTGAGAGAAAGTCAGAGCAGAGGAGCAGCACTAATATCAGACGGGGGTGCTGGGATAGGGGCGGGGGCAGGGGTGGGGGTGGGAGAGGGGTTGGGGGCGGGGTGGGGGAGGGATTGGGGATGGGTGGAAGGAACAGGCGAAAAGCAGCAGGTCAACGAGTCAACCCAGTCAACGCACCTCCAGGCACGATGACCCAGTCGGGCACTTCCCACTCGAACTGCTGGCAAATCTCGATGGCGGCCGTCTTCTGGCCCTCGAGGCGCAGCGAGTTGAGCGAGTTGGCGAGGTAGATGGGCAGCTGCGCCGTCACGTCGCGGATCAGCCGCATGCACCCGTCGAAGTCCGTGTCGATCGACAGCACCAGCGCGCCGTTCGCGATGGGCTGCACGAGTTGCGCGAGGGAAATTCTGCGGGGAGGGTGTCAAGGAAGAGGGGGAGGGGAGAGGTTGGCGGAGGGGTGAGATTGCATGCACCCGACGAAGTCCGTGTCGATCGACAGCACCAACACGCCGTTCGCGATGGGCTGCACCAGCTGCGCAAGGGAGATCCTGCGGGGATAGATTGGAATACCAGCATAAGGGTGTCATGTCAGACGGACGGTTGATGTGGTCACATGCATTTGTGGAAACTCGTGCTCGTTGACTAGGCAAGGCAAAACAAGCCAACGAGGCAGATCCGTGACGTGAGAATGCGGATTTATTTTAAAATGCACGGCGGAAAAGGATCAGGAAAAACAGAAGATTACGCACTTGTTAGCAGGGAGGAAGACAATAGCGGGGATGCCGGCGGCAGCGCAGTAGGCGGAGAGAGCAGCGGAGGTATCGCCGGTGGAGGCGCATCCGACGGCTGCGAGCGGCATGTTCTTCTTCCGCAGCCGATTCACTTGACTCACGAGCACTGTCATGCCCAGATCCTGTGGTCAAAAGACAAGGACGGAGGTAGAGACCGGGAAATGGGTACATTAGGAAATCATCATGCAAAAGAAGTATGAACTACTCATGCTAGCCTGTAACTTAAAGATGAACAAGGCAACATCCACGGAGAGAAGGGCCTTTGGAAACAGGGAGTGAACAAATGAGCCGTGTAACGTACCTTGAAGGAACCAGTGTGGCTGTTGCCGCACTGCTTGACCCACAGATCGGACATTCCGAGCTCCTTGCCGTACCGCTCGGCCCAGAAGAGGTTGGAGTTGCCCTCGAACATGCTCACGATGTCGTCGTTGTCGATCTCCTGCACATCCATCGCGAATTACGGTCGTGAGTACGATACGATACGATACGATACGACGGATGGATACACACGCAGCAATATGTTTCAAGGCAGAGCGACGACCACATCGGAATGCCGATGGAAACAATCAACCAATGTTAAGACAATCATTGTCAAGACTTACCGGGAGAACCCATTCCTTCTTGCTCCACACCCCAGATCCGTAAGGCCACGTGTGCTTCCCAACCCGGGAGTCGAAGAGCTTCTTCCAGTACGCAGCGTCGTAGCGTTTGAGAGCCTCGTAGTCATGCTGCACGTCCAGCAACAGACCTGCACAGATTACCACAGTGAAGATGCCGGTCAGATTGGCTCAAACAAAAACAGTGCATACTTCCAATGTAAATCAAGTCAATCTCATCTCAGCCTTGCCATGTTGGAATACTTTGCGTCGACAAGCGTGCCACTAACGAACAGAAGAAAAAGTTTGATTTAGGTAAGAGTTCGCGGTTGCGTACCGTCCTTGCTGGTGTAGATGACCTCGTCTAGAGAGTACTCTTCAGTTGGCTTCTGATCCGGAGAGAAAGGGACGTACTTGGCAGAAAACACATTCTGAGGGCTTTCGAGCTCTGAAACAGATTCAGAGCGAAGGGAGGAAGGGCGCACAGATTTAGACAAAAAGGCAGCAGGACAAGACAAACAAGACAACGCGAACATCATGCTAGGTCGGAAAGGTACAATTCCATTTCGCTTCCCACTAGCAAATTCAGTGGGTGAGAACTATGCTTCTGGCTGACCTTCAATGTCGAAGGATGGAGCATGGTTTGACCCATAGGTACCTAGCGTAACCGGGGTTTAGGCCATTCAACTCCCAGAAAAATCAGGGAACTGTTATGCACACACAACGTGCAGGCGAAAATCGAAGGCCTACCCTGTCGAGGAGCCTCGTGCCGGAAATCCCCTTCTTTCTTTTGGGTGACGACAGTTGAATCTGCCGCCTCTGCAACCACTCGCACGCCGGTTGACACAACCGCTCGGTGCTTCGATTGCCGGGCTAAGGCCTTCTTGGAAAGCACCAGAGAGGCCTTTTTTAGGCCATCGAACGGCACGAGTGTGGCGGAGGAGTTCAGGAATGGGGACTCTGAACTAGCTCCTGCACGAGCTAGTGCGCAAACAGAAGACGACGCGCGTGCAGACAAAGTGGCGGCCATGCCACTAATGGGCTAGGAGAATAACAGCCACGGAAGGAACTTAATGTCGTCTGCTTAGAACCGAAGTAGGTCTAGTCGACCGTACTGCAATACCAGCACGAAAAAAATGGCCCACAAATACACCGTAGCCAGGCAACTCCAGACCTATAAAGTGCCAGGAAGCACTGTTGTGTCAGCAAATGGGACTTCTGCCTTAGTTGCTGCTGACTGGCTTGGTGTCACACTCCGAGGAGAAACATTTCTGGCTGATTCCCCTTGGTGATGCTCCCAAGGTGGTGGGGAGCAGGGGCTTCGGCGGAGAAAGGGTTTTCAGGAGCAGAGGGGTCCGGGGGAAAGGGTTCTCACTTCAGGCATACGGGGAAGGGGATGGGGGAAACGGTTGCGGACGGCGTGGGCGGAAGGATTCGACGGGGAAATGCGCAACTTTTCATCGGGATTGGTTGGGGAGGAAGGAAGCAAATCCCGTAACAATTGCGTGAAGCATGCGGACACGGGATCATGATGGCGAGCTGAGGTGGTTTGGTGTGTGCGCCAGTGGATCACTCTGCTATGGTCCCAATCCAGTTGATCTGGAACGCTCGTGGCGGCCGCTGCGGTGGGGAGCTGCGATTGGTTGCTGAGATTTAAATGAGAGACTGATGTGGCAGTGTGACATGCAAGTAATCGTGGAGTTCTTATATATGGTAGATGAAATTGTGCTGTAGCTTCCTTCACAAATACTCTCCCTAACATGTTTGGCAGCCGACAATGAAAAAGAAAGCATTTCTCTTTACCAACCAACATTTTAGGGTCTGGCCTGTGGAATTTATTTCTGTATGCTCTGAATGCGTAAGTACAGATAAATTAATAAAAATACCTGACCAACATGCCTTCACGAAAGGAAGGAGCCTGAATTCTCATAACCCAACCAGTCTGATGGTCTCTGTTGCAAGGCCAATGTGACCTCCACAGGCAGTGAGTTACCCGGCATCCACTACCTCTAACTGTCTTCTACTACCACCCTTCTCTCACCGATAACTTCATCAATGCATGACGTCTCCTCCCAACGCCACCCTTAACTTGCCTATCAGTCTCCTGGATTCCACTTCCAGGAACTACCTTCTTTTCCCTGACCCCCTTCTTCACCTCATCCCTCCATCGGGTCCGTCCCTCTCTCTGCTCACCCTCACTCCTCCTCTGGCCGCCATTCCCTTCCTTCTCCTCTCTGCCACTCTCACTCCTTATCTTCTCCAACTCCTTTTCCACATCAGCATCGACTGGAAGATCATATCTTATCCGGGCGGCCTCGGTCTGAAAATCCTTGAGCATATCCCGCGTGATCTGTGAGCTGATCCCTCTCAAGTAGTGCGACAAAATGGGCGGCGGAGTGAGTGCAGGCTGCACTACCTGACAAAGCTGAACGCTAGTGGCCACCCGCATTGGATTCTGGGGATGGTGGTAGTGCGGTTGGCGTTCATTTAGCAAATAGCCGAAAAAAGCCCGGGGAGAAGAGCTGCCAGCTGGCTCCTTCCCATTGGTTGCAATGACACCAGAGGATAAATCGGCAGTAGACTTTGATGAGTGTGCTAATGAAGAGGTTGATGTGGGGGTGTGGAAAGTCAGTCGGGCGGATTGAGGTGTGGAGGGGCGAGGGGAGCGGGCCGTGGGGGAGTGAGGAGAGGGGGAGGAGGAAGAAGGAAGTGTGGTGGAGGGAGGAAGAGAGGAGGAGGGAGGGACAACCAGCGGCTCTAGTTGCCAGTAGCCTTCAAACTGCTTCATAAATCCGGGCCTTATAAGTTTAAACGACATCTGGTAAACAGAAGGGGGAGAGTGGGGAGGGAAAAAAAAAAGACACAACAGCACACAGAGAAAGTGAATGCTAAAAACATGAACCGCCATCTAAGACATTAGCATGTGACACGTGAAGGTCAGGTAAGTGGCATTATTCTGGCGATTCTATGTACCTTGAGGTTGGGTCGGTCCTGCTTGACTCTCAGGCGCACGTCAAAGGTTCCTGAGAGGAAGAGGAAGCGCCACCTGGCTCCCTGCTGCAGCTCCACCTCCTGCACGCCACCATCGTCGTACAGCACGTTGCGGTAGCTCACATCCTGCCATGTGCCATGTGTCATGTGCCACGTGCCATGCCATGCCATCACCCGTGCCATGCCATGCCCCCCATGTCGTGGGTCCCATACCATGCCACGCCATACCATGCAGTCTCAGGTCATCCCAAGAAATTCAGCTTGATTGATGGCATGCTATCAGATAAACTGAGGAACAAGGGCATGGTCAGGCGCCTTGAGCATAGAGAGGTTCAGAGCCGAAACAGGAGAGGGGTGTTCGTACATTCAAGAATAGTAGCAGTCAAAGCACTTGGCTTCATGGATTATGCATCTTGCAATTGGCTCACAACACATGCTCTAGTTTCACAATGCCCCATCCCTCCAACGCCGCCTCCAACCCTTCCTCCCTTTCCGGTCCCTTTCTTCCTCCCTTTGTTCATCCCTTTACTCGGCCTTTCTTTCGTTATCTTCCTCCCATTTTTTACTTTCAGGCACATAGGCGCATACATGCACACAGCTGTTCATACATACTTGCTCACATTCCCTAGCTTTCATTCGTTCCCAAGCCCCACACACCCGACCCACACAACCATCCATTTGTGAAAGACTACACCCACCCACGCACCGTGATATTCTTGAAGACTCTTTTATTGCTGGGGTCGCAAAGTGTGCTATAAACGAGGTCCGGGGGCAGGGCAAGCAGGAACTGCGCGTCCATTCGGCAAAAGGAGCCCTTTGGGACCGACACCTTCAACAAGGTGGCAACACAGAGTGGAGACAGAGGTGGCAGATTGTTCGTGCTTGAAACGGAATGCTACGTTCAAGCGAGCATAAGAAGGACTCTCTGAATGCAAGACATTTAGCAATGCAGTGACGGTGGGAAAGGGCTGGGTGAATGGGAGGAGGTTACAGAGTACCAACGGAAGAGCAGAAAGAGGGGAGAGGGAAGGGCGATTGCGGAGACGGGAACGGAGAATGGAAAAAGGGCACGTGGCAGCAGTCAGTCGTGAAGCGGAGGTACCTTCTGCCGCAAGGGGAGATGGCAGTGACGACACTCACAATTGCACCGATCATGAATAGGCTACCGTATTTTCCGCTTCCGTTACAGCATTCGCTATGCTCCCACGCCCTCACCTCGAGTTTCGGCTGCTCGTCTTCCCATTCGGGATCGGCGCGCCAAACTGCCAGTTGCTGGCGCATATTGTCCTCCCAGGCGCTCCTCTGTCCGGCCCCGCCATTGCTGCTACTACCTGCACGACCCCTAGGACTGTCGCTTTTTCCAGTACCACTAGAACCAGCCCCTCGATTCCAGATGCTACCGCCGTTCCCATCGCTACTTTTGTTCGGAAACAGGCCCCTCCATCGGGCTCTAGTACCAGAAGGTTCAGGCGTTTTTGCAGTAGCGGCTGTTGCTGAATCTTTCTCCGAAAGCTCAAACGGCCATTTTATCACAGAGACATCGGGTAATGTGAAATTGATGACAGCTTTCTGGAAATTGTCTGGAATGCCAGCAGCCACCGTGGTCGTCCAATCCGAGACATTCTTTCGAAAAGACTCGGGAAATGACATATGGAGACAATGTATGCACTGGAGAGAGAAATGCGGAAAGATGAAACTCAGATAGCTATGGTTGCTTGTCGATCGCTCGACATATATGGATGCAGATGATGGTAGGTAGACAAACTTTTGTGTGTTAGATCTTCTTGAGGAGGCTCATTTGCCATGTTGCTGGGTGGACCAGGCTCACAGAGCTGACGGAGAATGCTGGTCAACTTACGTGGTTGGATTGGATGCACCACCCTCTGTACGCGTCAGAAATGGTTTCTAACATGGTCAGCCCGAAACTGTAGGAAACATAACACATGTATGTTCGATGCACAGTATACACAACAAGTCAATCATTGCACAGATCCAGAACACTGGTTTTACTCTGCTTCACAAGTACCATGGCCAACCAGTATGCCTATTCATCTATCCCTTCGTAATCTCATCAGGGTTATTGCTTGATGCACCCACAGCATCTTGAAAGTCATTCTTTGCAGAATCGTACAATGCTGTCAAGGAGTATGCCTGAAGGTCTTGAACCTCGTACCATGATTGCAATGGCTTCTTATCCTTATCAGTTCCAGAGAAGGCCACGTTGATCTGTCAAAAGTGGCTCTCGTTAGCCAACCGGAAAGTAGCAGACATAAAAAAACAGTCAAAACAGCTCTCTTACAGCAAGGCGGCAAGGTTCAGGATCAGAAATAGTTTTCATGCTACTGCATTTGTCTTCTGTAACAAGGCAATTGCTGTTGTCCACACACAGCGGGCTCACAGGCTCGCATGTTGACTCTGAGCAACCCATGTCCTTCCTGCACAAGGATGACCTCACAATGTCTTGCTAAGGAAATAAACAATTGCTACATTAAATCAAGTTGGAGTACGGTATTACCAAACAAAGGAATCAAGAACCCCTTCTTTGAAATTGATTATAAGAATTAGGGAAGGAAGCCGTCCCTGCATGACAGAGCAGGACAATCTAGTCATAAGCAACAGCAACGACAACATCATCAGGCGCTGCATAGGTCAGTTTAGTACGTTACCAGAGGGGATAAGAATTGTCGAGGAGAAGATACGATTCCCTTAGCTCCAGAATATACAATCAAAGAGCTGTTGACGAACTGCATCGTATTGAATAGGGTTAGGATGTCAAATGCGAGCATAGATTTTGCGTTTTACCACTTACGGTGTTGTTGATTCTTGCCATGCTAACGTTGTTGATTCTCAGAAGAGAAAGCTCGTCGACTTTAGGCCGAAAAACGGCCACTTCCACGCCTGGAGGTAATATCTGCGTGGACACTTTTTTAAACTCCATGTCCGGCGTAATAACAGCTCTTAAAAGAAGCTGGATCCTTGGACATCCTGTCTCATGAATTTCCTGATACCTGCAAAGTCTCGGCAAGGCACGGAGAGGATTTATTCCATGTCGCTGACATTCCACCGAAGCCAATGGCAAAGGAGAATCCATCGCCCTTCTGGACAGGGTCAGCATCCTTGCATGGATCGTATACCGTGTTGCGATCTCCCGCGTGGACCAAAACAAGTGCCGCAATTACAACAACGAGAGATAGGAGAGAGGCGTAAGAGCCGGCCATATCAGAAGCACACGACGGAATTAGCAGTACTGCTAGGAACTCCTGGTGGTCTAGAACTAGCTCAAGCTAGTGAATCAGATATGCAGTAGCTGAATGAAATGAGAGCCTCATAACATGAGCAGACTTCCGCAGTGCGCCTGACAAAAGGAGCTGTCCAGTCGCTCACATCACATCTCTGCGCAATTCTGCTGAAATGTTGAGCCCATTCCGCTATGGGTGCACATTTGCTGTTCGAAGGGTCTCTTTTCGAAGGTTCAAACACGGTACGGCGAGATGAAGCAAGATACAGTGTGATGTAGTGCGTTGTAGTTCGAAGATGCCTGCTACAGGCCGTATCTGAATTACGTGTCATCCTAACAAAGGTCCGCGTATGTTGCATGCAGGAAATAGTTTTACGGGAAGAAAAATCGACTCTAAGTCGGCACTCGACGCACACTGTAACGAGGGTTTCATGGATGTCGTTTCGCTGACGCTATCGTTTCTTGGGAACTTCCCTCACCATCTTTTCCCTTTCCCCCGCCCCCTGTCCGCCTCCCTTTCCCCCCCTACCCATTCCCATTCGTTCCGCGCCTGACACAAATGCTTGCAGCATATCACACATTCCCTGCCTGACAGCCAACACAAATTCCCTCCCTGCTGATCGTGGCTCCTCCAGGCAGTCCGAGAGTCCTCCTGGCAAGGATGCTGATCTCGGATATCCCGCTGAACTTTCTGTAGCGTACTGAACTTCGTAAAGCGTCTTCTCTTCGCTGACAGCGGTATGCATCGCCACGGCTTCCGCCATTGTCGCTCCGTCAGGCTCGCAGCACGGCAGTGCTTACTCCCAAATGTGGCTTTCCCTAACCCTACCCTCAGACAGCTCTGTTCTCCTTCGTGCTATTCGTTTGCCGACGACGCGAGTCCCGGTCAAGCGCATTATGCGGCGTTTAATGCGCGTGAAACCCTCAGACAGTGTGATGGTCGAATAGGTGGCATCTCCGGTTCAAATCTTCCATCCGATTCCGCTCTAAACGCTGCATGGCGGAATATTCTTGCGAGAAACAGTACTTGGCTAGCAACGGGCTACCGCAATGGTGTTTCTCCTAGGTCAACTCCCCAGAATGTCCTCAGCAATAGGCGCTCCGTTACAACCACCACTGGCGGTGACATGCCGTTGCACTTCTGCATTGTGGGAAGCGGTCCAGCAGGCTTCTATACTGCAGAGAAGGTACACGAAGAAAGCAGGGAGGGTGTAATCGAGGTGAACCAAGGAGGAGAAGGGAATGCATGAAAACAGGAACAGGACCAGGTTCGTTGTGTTAGAAGTCCGGTGCAACCTGAGGGAGTGTGGAAACACCTCCATTTAAACGTCATATTCAATCCATTCAAGAGTCAGAAACCCTCATTACGCAATGAAACGTCCAAAAAAATGTATCTTACCTCTAGATCTTCAGGTACGGTCCTTGCAGTGTCTTCCATGACCGTGCTCTATGAACTCGTTCGTTCAGCCCTTCTCCTCTGCTCTCCCATCTGGCCCTTGCAGCTCCTGAAGCGTTTTGACACGGCACGGGTGGACATAGTGGAAAGGCTGCCCTCTCCTTTCGGCCTAGTGCGCACGGGAGTTGCGCCGGACCACCCTGAAACCAAGGTGTGAGACCATACGATCTTGGTACGTCAGCAATAGTCCGTTCTCCTTTTCTTCGTGCCATGATGTTACTTCTTCGCTCATCATCCTAGATGTGACTGTGACTGACCTGATCATAACAATGTTCACCCTTAGTCGTTTTTGCACGGATGTGGCATGTTGCTGGTTTATCATGTGCAAATCTGTGATGTTACTCGCTTCTATTTTTGTGTGTTTCCACCAGAATGTGATCAACCAGTTCACTCGTGTAGCCCAAAATCCCCGCTGCCAATACTTCGGAAACGTTGTGGTCGGCCCTTTGGTTTCCACGTCAGCACCATCATCCTCCACGTCAGCATTAGACCCGTCGTTATCTTCAGCCTCACCATCACCAGCAGCAGCTGTGACGTTGCATGAGCTGCGTCAGATGTACCATGCTGTCGTCCTGGCGTATGGAGCAGAGGGCGACCGCGATCTCAACGTTCCTGGGGAGGTGAGGAGAGGGGAGCGATTCTGTTTCTGTATATTGTTTTATTACACAGCCCCACCAGCATCACCAGTACCAGCAGTGACATTGGAACCATGCTGTCATCCTGGCGTATGGAGCAGAGGGCGACCGCGATCTCAACGTCCCTGGGGAGGTGAGGGAAAAGGAAGTTTCTGTACTTGGGGATGTCTCAAACTCCAGCTCACCACTGCTTTTGAGTCGACTCAAGAGCTTGGGAATGTCACAAACTCAAAATCCAGCTCAACACCCACATCATCAGCAGCAGCAGCTGTGACGTTGCATGAGCTGCGTCAGATGTGCTATGCTGTCATCCATGCGTCAAATGTCACTTTTCCGCCTATTTTTCCCTCCGCTCAGCACCTGAAGGATGAATATTCCCTGCCAAAGAATCCCACATATGCAGGTGTGCCTCCTCTCCTTCCTTCCAGCCTCTTCTCCTCTCTGCTCTTCCAAGATTTTTACCCCTCCTCCTCCTGTCCACATTTTGTTCCTCTTTTCCTTCCTCCACACTCCAGCACCTGAGAGGAGTCTTCTCTGCCAGGGAGTTGGTGCGGTGGTACAACGGCCATCCCGACCACACCAATGCATCTCCCCTTCTCTCCCTCCCACTTCTTACTCCTGCATTCTTCCGCTCCTTGCCACCAGCACCTGAGAGGAGTCTTCTCCGCGAGGGAGTTTGTGTGGTGGTACAACGGCCATCCCGACTACGCCAGTCTTCCAGTGGACCTCACCTCTACTGACACCGCTGTTGTCGTTGGCCAGGTATGTGCTTTCCTCTCTTCACTCATCACCGGTTGTGCTAAGCCATGTACGTGCTTTCCTTCCTTCTCTCATCTTGCCATCCTGACTACGCCAATCTTCCAGTGAACCTCATCTCTACTGACACCGCTGTTGTCGTTGGCCAGGTATGTGCTTTTTCCTTTCTCTCTTTCTTCTCTACCGTTTGCCGAAGTTGCTCCAAACGTGGTATGCTGCTCTGCTCGGATGGTCTTCTGAGGAACCACTCCTTTTTCACATCGAGTTCTTCCGTTACGAGGTCGAGGGACGCACAGTGGAGGAAGCTTCAGGGTACACAGCAAGAGGAGAAATTTCGCCGCACGATAGAGAGGGAGAATAAGCTACTGTTTCGGACAAAAACTGCAAGTCGTGGACGTGGAAGAATGCCTTCACAAATATCTGGCTCGCACCAAGGATGACTCGCCAACCTCCTTAGAGGCCGGACCTGGGTTAGCCACGTGGCCACCACTCATGCACAGTTAAGACTGTTATTGCTTATGTATGCTTGCTCTATCGGTGTACATATCAAATACCTTAAAAATAAAAAAGCATCGAGTCCTTCCTACCGCTATGTCCTCTCCCAATCGCATCATCACACCATCGCACCATTTCACCATCGCACTATAAAGCGAGGTACCCCTGGAGAGAGGCGCCCCTATAGAGAGGCGCCCCTAGAGAGAGGCGCCCCTAGAGAGAGGCGCCCCTAGAGAGAGGCGCCCCTAGAGAGACGCGCCCCTAGAGAGACGCGCCCCTAGAGAGAGGCGCCCCTAAAGAGAGGGCGTGGTTCTGTCTGGACTTGGCAAGAGTGGTGCTCTTTGAGGCCTTCTGAGTGACCTCTTCTCGCAACAACCACATCCTCTCACCACGTCACTTCCCCCATTCCCCCATCCATTGCACTGTAACCTGCAGGGCAACGTGGCTCTGGACGTGGCAAGAGTACTGCTCTCTCACTGCCTTCCCTCTCCTCGCAACAACTAGCTCCTCTAGCTAACCGCCTCACTTCGCCCTCACGTACACACCATTGCACTGTAACCTGCAGGGAAACGTGGCCCTGGACGTGGCCAGAGTGCTGCTCCGACGGCCGTGCGAGCTTCAACCCACCGACATTGCAGAGCACGCACTGGAGGCACTGGCGAGCAGCCGAGTCAGGTGAGCGGCAGTGAGCTTCTATGCCTGCGCGGCCAGGTGCATGTGTGCCACGAAGGGCTTTGATGCACTGCAGACATTGCAGAGCATGCACTGGAGGCACTGGCGAGCAGCCAAGTCAGGTCAGCAGCCATGTGCAGCGGTGAGCTTTCTATTTACGTGCAAGAATCATTCGTCCCTGATGGCTTTGACCCACCGACATTGCAGAGCATCTGCTGGAGGCATTGGCGAGCAGCCAAGTGAGGTGAGCAGCGGTGAGCAGCAGTGAGCTTTTATATTCCTGTGCATACAACTCAACGGTCAATGAAGGTTCAACCGCCATCAGACAATGCAGAGCATGTGCTGGAGGCACTGGCGAGCAGCCAAGTGAGGTGAGCAGCGGTGAGCTTTCTATTCCTGTGCAAGAATCATCGGTCAATGAAGTTCAATTCAACCGCCATCAGACATTGCAGAGCATGCGCTGGAGGCACTGGCGAGCAGCCGAGTCAGGTAGGCACCTATTGTGTTCCTCCTCACTGATTCCTGAGGCACACACGGGAGACTCGTGCTACTGGCTTTGCCAAATAAACATGATCCGGCAAGGCAGAATGTACACCCGGTTCGCGATTTTCGTCAGGTGTGACATTGAATTTATTTCCTGATTGTCCATCCCCTCTTCAACTCTTCTCATTCAACTCATTTCGACGCGCTCCCCTTCTTCCCCCTGCCCCCCACCCACTTCCTTGCTGCTTCTCAACCCCCCCTCCCTTCCTCCCTCTTTTCGCTTCTGATAGGCGAGTGCATGTGGTGGGAAGGCGGGGTCCGGTTCAGGCCGCCTGCACTGCCAAGGAGGTTCGCGAGGTGCTAAGTATGTTGCTTAGTGATAATTATGTTGCTTAGTGATAAGTATGTTGCTTAGTGATAAGTCTGTTGCTTAGTGATAAGTATGTTGCTTTGTGCTGAGTATATTGCTTATTGCTAAGTATGTTGATTCTTGCTGAGTATGCTGCTTAGTGTCAGTTATGTTTCTCTGTGCTGAGTATGCTCCTTATGCTAAGTATGTTGCTCGGTTTTCAATGTTCACTGCTTTCTTTTCCTTTGTGCATGAACTGTTCTTGGCAGAGGCAGAAAACCTACTCTGCAGAATGCATGTGGTCATTGTTTTTTTCTTTTTGAAACTTAAATCACCTAACCCAACAATTGCTCTTGAATGCAACTGTACTTTTTCTTTCCTTCGCGTCCATGCCATATTTGTGCAGAGCTCGATGACATTCAAGTCACGCTCAGACAAGAGGACTTTGCGCTGACCCCTATGGATGAGGTAGGAGACAAAGCATTGTTCCTGGGAAGGAAGCAACTTTTGTGGGACGGGTGAGGATAGGTGGTGGGGTGACTTTTGAGTCGACTCAAAAGTGGGACGGTGAGGATAGGTGGTGGGGTGAATTTTGAGTCGACTCAAAAGTGGGACGGTGAGGATAGGTGGTGGGGTGACTTTTGAGTCGACTCAAAAGTGGGACGGTGAGGATAGGTGGTGGGGTGAATTTTGAGTCGAGTCAAAAGTGGGACGGTGAGGATAGGTGGTGGGGTGACTTTTGAGTCGACTCAAAAGTGGGACGGTGAGGATAGGTGGTGGGGTGAATTTTGAGTCGACTCAAAAGTGGGACGGTGAGGATAGGTGGTGGGGTGACTTTTGAGTCGACTCAAAAGTGGGACGGTCAGGATAGGTGGTGGGGTGAATTTTGAGTCGACTCAAAAGTGGGACGGTGAGGATAGGTGGTGGGGTGAATTTTGAGTCGACTCGAAAGTGGGACGGTGAGGATAGGTGGTGGGGTGACTTTTGAGTCGACTCAAAAGTGGGACGGTGAGGATAGGTGGTGGGGTGAATTTTGAGTCGACTCAAAAGTGGGACGGTGAGGATAGGTGGTGGGGTGAATTTTGAGTCGAGTCAAAAGTGGGACGGTGAGGATAGGTGGTGGGGTGAATTTTGAGTCGACTCAAAAGTGGGACGACTCAAAAGTGGGACGGTGAGGATAGGTGGTGGGGTGACTTTTGAGTCGACTCAAAAGTGGGACGGTGAGGATAGGTGGTGGGGTGAATTTTGAGTCGACTCAAAAGTGGGACGACTCAAAAGTGGGACGGTGAGGATAGGTGGTGGGGTGACTTTTGAGTCGACTCAAAAGTGGGACGGTGAGGATAGGTGGTGGGGTGAATTTTGAGTCGACTCAAAAGTGGGACGGTGAGGATAGGTGGTGGGGTGAATTTTGAGTCGACTCAAAAGTGGGACGGTGAGGATAGGTGGTGGGGTGACTTTTGAGTCGACTCAAAAGTGGGACGGTGAGGATAGGTGGTGGGGTGAATTTTGAGTCGAGTCAAAAGTGGGACGGTGAGGATAGGTGGTGGGGTGACTTTTGAGTCGACTCAAAAGTGGGACGGTGAGGATAGGTGGTGGGGTGAATTTTGAGTCGACTCAAAAGTGGGACGGTGAGGATAGGTGGTGGGGTGACTTTTGAGTCGACTCAAAAGTGGGACGGTCAGGATAGGTGGTGGGGTGAATTTTGAGTCGACTCAAAAGTGGGACGGTGAGGATAGGTGGTGGGGTGAATTTTGAGTCGACTCGAAAGTGGGACGGTGAGGATAGGTGGTGGGGTGACTTTTGAGTCGACTCAAAAGTGGGACGGTGAGGATAGGTGGTGGGGTGAATTTTGAGTCGACTCAAAAGTGGGACGGTGAGGATAGGTGGTGGGGTGAATTTTGAGTCGAGTCAAAAGTGGGACGGTGAGGATAGGTGGTGGGGTGACTTTTGAGTCGACTCAAAAGTGGGACGGTGAGGATAGGTGGTGGGGTGAATTTTGAGTCGACTCAAAAGTGGGACGGTGAGGATAGGTGGTGGGGTGACTTTTGAGTCGACTCAAAAGTGGGACGGTGAGGATAGGTGGTGGGGTGAATTTTGAGTCGAGTCAAAAGTGGGACGGTGAGGATAGGTGGTGGGGTGACTTTTGAGTCGACTCAAAAGTGGGACGGTGAGGATAGGTGGTGGGGTGAATTTTGAGTCGACTCAAAAGTGGGACGGTGAGGATAGGTGGTGGGGTGACTTTTGAGTCGACTCAAAAGTGGGACGGTCAGGATAGGTGGTGGGGTGAATTTTGAGTCGACTCAAAAGTGGGACGGTGAGGATAGGTGGTGGGGTGAATTTTGAGTCGACTCGAAAGTGGGACGGTGAGGATAGGTGGTGGGGTGACTTTTGAGTCGACTCAAAAGTGGGACGGTGAGGATAGGTGGTGGGGTGAATTTTGAGTCGACTCAAAAGTGGGACGGTGAGGATAGGTGGTGGGGTGAATTTTGAGTCGAGTCAAAAGTGGGACGGTGAGGATAGGTGGTGGGGTGAATTTTGAGTCGACTCAAAAGTGGGACGACTCAAAAGTGGGACGGTGAGGATAGGTGGTGGGGTGACTTTTGAGTCGACTCAAAAGTGGGACGGTGAGGATAGGTGGTGGGGTGAATTTTGAGTCGACTCAAAAGTGGGACGACTCAAAAGTGGGACGGTGAGGATAGGTGGTGGGGTGACTTTTGAGTCGACTCAAAAGTGGGACGGTGAGGATAGGTGGTGGGGTGAATTTTGAGTCGACTCAAAAGTGGGACGGTGAGGATAGGTGGTGGGGTGAATTTTGAGTCGACTCAAAAGTGGGACGGTGAGGATAGGTGGTGGGGTGACTTTTGAGTCGACTCAAAAGTGGGACGGTGAGGATAGGTGGTGGGGTGAATTTTGAGTCGAGTCAAAAGTGGGACGGTGAGGATAGGTGGTGGGGTGACTTTTGAGTCGACTCAAAAGTGGGACGGTGAGGATAGGTGGTGGGGTGAATTTTGAGTCGACTCAAAAGTGGGACGGTGAGGATAGGTGGTGGGGTGACTTTTGAGTCGACTCAAAAGTGGGACGGTCAGGATAGGTGGTGGGGTGAATTTTGAGTCGACTCAAAAGTGGGACGGTGAGGATAGGTGGTGGGGTGAATTTTGAGTCGACTCAAAAGTGGGACGGTGAGGATAGGTGGTGGGGTGACTTTTGAGTCGACTCAAAAGTGGGACGGTGAGGATAGGTGGTGGGGTGAATTTTGAGTCGACTCAAAAGTGGGACGGTGAGGATAGGTGGTGGGGTGAATTTTGAGTCGAGTCAAAAGTGGGACGGTGAGGATAGGTGGTGGGGTGACTTTTGAGTCGACTCAAAAGTGGGACGGTGAGGATAGGTGGTGGGGTGAATTTTGAGTCGACTCAAAAGTGGGACGGTGAGGATAGGTGGTGGGGTGACTTTTGAGTCGACTCAAAAGTGGGACGGTGAGGATAGGTGGTGGGGTGAATTTTGAGTCGAGTCAAAAGTGGGACGGTGAGGATAGGTGGTGGGGTGAATTTTGAGTCGACTCAAAAGTGGGACGACTCAAAAGTGGGACGGTGAGGATAGGTGGTGGGGTGACTTTTGAGTCGACTCAAAAGTGGGACGGTGAGGATAGGTGGTGGGGTGAATTTTGAGTCGACTCAAAAGTGGGACGACTCAAAAGTGGGACGGTGAGGATAGGTGGTGGGGTGACTTTTGAGTCGACTCAAAAGTGGGACGGTGAGGATAGGTGGTGGGGTGAATTTTGAGTCGACTCAAAAGTGGGACGGTGAGGATAGGTGGTGGGGTGACTTTTGAGTCGACTCAAAAGTGGGACGGTGAGGATAGGTGGTGGGGTGAATTTTGAGTCGACTCAAAAGTGGGACGACTCAAAAGTGGGACGGTGAGGATAGGTGGTGGGGTGACTTTTGAGTCGACTCAAAAGTGGGACGGTGAGGATAGGTGGTGGGGTGAATTTTGAGTCGACTCAAAAGTGGGACGGTGAGGATAGGTGGTGGGGTGAATTTTGAGTCGACTCAAAAGTGGGACGACTCAAAAGTGGGACGGTGAGGATAGGTGGTGGGGTGACTTTTGAGTCGACTCAAAAGTGGGACGGTGAGGATAGGTGGTGGGGTGAATTTTGAGTCGACTCAAAAGTGGGACGGGTGAGGATAGGTGGTGGGAATCAGCAGTGAGGAAGGAATGGGTGGTGAGAATGAGGTGTCATTTGAGTCGACTCAAAATGAGAATGTGTGCGAACTCTGTGAATGAGGATTCTTTCCTTGCCTGCATGCCTCCCTGGTTGTCCAAGCCAGCGGCCTCTCTCCATTTTTTCTCCGTTCCTCATTGTTCCTTGCTGTCTCCTCTCTCACTGCTACCTCGGCTTCTCTCCTCTGTCCCTCCCCTCACAGAGTGAGCTCAAGGCAAGTCGCAGCCACCGCCGCGTGTTCGACCTGCTCTCCAAAGCAGCAGCACCACCACCATCGCTATCATCAACAGTTACCAGCAGCAGCAGCAGCAGCAGCAGCAGCAGTGACCGGCGCGAGCTGGACTTTGTGTTTTTCCGCTCGCCCGTTGCTGTGCTGACTGGAGGGGATGGGAAGGGGGAGGTTAACGGAGGTGTTGGGGCGATTCGACTGGAAAAGAACGTTCTCACTGGTCAGTACCTGGGTTAGGACTTTTCATGAATTGGACTTTGTGTTCTTCTGCTCGCCTGTGGCTGTGCTGCCTGGAGGGGATGGGAAGGGGGAGGCTGACGGACATGTTGGGGCGATTCGACTGGAGAAAAATGTTCTCACCGGTCAGTCAGTGCCTGGGCTGGGACTTATTGTGCTGCTATGCACCATTCTTGACTGGAAAAGAATGTATGCACTGGTCAATGTGTGGAATGGGACCTTCTGTTTACTCATGAGATCATCGTGCAGATGCAGCTGGTAATCTAGGGTTCTCAGTCACACTGACAAGTAGGTTCCAACATGATTTTTTTTTGGGTGGCTCTGGATATGAAAGAATAGTATTTGGGGTATTCGATTGTACATGGATGTGCTTACTGGAGATGAAGGGCGATTACCATCTTCATATGTGGAATGCTAGATTGCTGTTACGGAAGCATTGGCTACGAGTTTGTGTGTTCTCTGGATGAAGTTTTTGCATCTGTTCTCGCTCTGTGTTTGCATGCATGTTTGTGCAGGGGACTTCAGGGACGGGCCAAGGAGGGCAGTGGGGACAGGAGAGACTAGCGACCTGCCTTGTGGGTGGGTGCTGCCTTGTGGGTGGTGCTGCCTTGTGGGTGGTGCTGCCTTGTGGGTGGTGCTGCCTTGTGGGTGGTGCTGCCTTGTGGGTGGTGCTGCCTTGTGGGTGGTGCTGCCTTGTGGGTGGTGCTGCCTTGTGTGTGGTGCTGCCTTGTGGGTGGTGCTGCCTTGTGGGTGGGTACCAGAGCGAAGAAGAGTGGGTGCTTTGTGGAAAAGAGTGATGCTGCAAAACTTGCATAAGATAGCGACCTGACTTGTGGGTGGGTACCAGAGCGAAGGAAAAGAGTGGAGGTAATATTGTGGAATAGAGTGATGCAGCGAGGCCACCACTCTATTCCCCTTGCTCCCTCCTTGCCCCATTCCGCCTTCTGATATTCCTTCCAAACCCCACCTTTTTCACTCTTCACCTGTTTAGGATCTTACTTCTCATAGCTCTCTGCTGTCCCCCTTCTACTCCTGCTCTCTTCCTCTCGGCCTCCAGCTCTCTGTCATCTGTACTGAACTTTCTCTTTACTTCTCGCAAACCCCTCTCCCAGCCTTGTATTCAAGAGCATAGGCTACCGGCCATTGCCCATTTATGGCCTACCATCCGTACTGCACTCTCCCCTCTACCTCCCCCGACCCTCCCTCTCAGCCTCGTGTTTAAGAGCATAGGCTACCGCTCCCTGCCCATTGCCGGCCTGCCTTTCAACCAGCGCAGTGGTGAGCTCCATAGTAGATGTTTCCGTAGCATGCCTTGCACCATGCATCTTGGAAAGTATCATTTGCACGATTACCACCGCCCCTGCTTCACCATTTTCCCTTACCCCACCCACTGCTTCAATTTCCCACCCCAACTTGTCGACTTCCCTTTACCACCGCCCCTGCTTCACCATTTTCCTTTACCCCACTGCTTCAATTTCCCACCCCAGCCTTTAGGTTCACCAATCCTTGCCCATCCTTTTCACCACAAAATCACTCCCATCCCTTCCCATACCCATCTATTCCCAAACCCCTTTATTTCCAACCCAATCCAGGCACGGTACCTAACGAGTTGGGCCGTGTGCTGCAAGCCAGTGGAACCGATCCTGCCAGTGAGGCTCGGTATGAGCCGGGCCTGTATGTGGTTGGGTGGCTGAAGAGAGGCCCCACAGGAATCATCGGCACGAACCTGATTGACGCTGAGGAAACGGTAAGCCTCTGTTGAATTGAAGTTTGTTTTCATGTTCTACAAATACAATTGAAGCCTCACTGCTGCTTCTCCCTTGCTGAGTCCCTCTCTCTCCTCCCTGTCCCCTCAACTCCTCCCAAAGCCGACTTCCATGTCCTCCTGAATCTGTTTGGTTGCTCAATCGCTTGTGGCGTCCCTAGCATCGGTACACCCTGATTTCCCTATTGCAATTTCATCCTTCATTCTTTTTTTGCTGATTCTTACCCTTGTGTCTACTTCCCCGAACCAGGTCTCTAGCATTGCACAAGACGCAACAGCAAGTGGGTTCATTTCGTCAACATCTTTCAACACAGATGCTAGCAAAGGAGGAGGGTCAGAGCTTGTTGCTCTTTTGAAGCAGCGGATGTGCCCATTTGTGACGTTTGAAGATTGGATGAAGATAGATGCTGAAGAAATTCAGCGTGGCATGGCAAGCGGAAGAGTCAGAGAGAAAATTGTTTCGTCAACGGAAGTCCATAGAATTCTGGGAAAATGATATATATTCACTTACCAGTGCTCTTTGCGTCTGCCACATCCCTGCTTCCCATCACTTCTCAACTGTATCCTTTCTCATGCTAGAGGTGGAGTTATGTCACTAATTCAACTAGATCAGCAAATTCCATTTGTCCTCACCTCTTGTGTTGAATTAACAACACATCAATGATGAGTACTAATACGGAATCCGGGATGAAGCTCTCGCGAGGGTTTTGAGACACTAGTCCACACGTGCCTCTTGTTAAAATTTCCCATCTTCTTGCCGTCCCATTGTCGGCGAGGATCCTGTGTGGTGACGTCATATTCGTAAGCCAATCAAGAACCAAGGCTTCGTCGTGCTATCGTGGCATCTGTACGGAACACTCGTAACATGCGAAATGCGACAAGTGTGTCCCGAGTCTTGCGAATGTACAGAATCGGAGAGCAGGGGGAAAATGTCGCAATAGTCTTCGCCTGTCATCGAACGTGGGTGTTACAACTGGTTCTAATCGGTTGAAGCTATAACCTCAAACCTAGGCTGCGGTGCCGACAACCACCTTTGTCGAGGAGCCGCAGAAAGTGCCTTTCACTCAGGTAGAACAAGAAACCGAAACCCTCTGCGATGCGTATCAATGATAATGCGAAGCTGGGCGACAAAGTTACGAACAGACAATTCGCCGAAGCACCAACATACTTGGTTCCTGTCCCCTTCTCTACACGATGCTGGGTCGACTACATTGCTCTCTTCTTCCCATATAAAATCCGCATCTGAAAGCCTTTAACCACCATTCCAACAAAAGTGCACTCCATTCTGAGCACTCCATTGCCTCAAAGTTCAACGCTTCGCAAGCACACCATGGCAGTCAGGCGTCTCCTGCTTTGCGCCGCGCTGTTCTGCCTCGTATTAAATGGTATGACGCTCACTCGTATTCTGCTCAGCTCCGCAATTTCGTTACTTCTCGCGAGACGTGATACAACACGTTCAACCAGTAACGCACCTCAGTTTGTGACGTGCAGGTAACGCGGTTCCGGGGAGGCAGCTTCGTCACCGCAGCAAGTATTCGTGGCGAGACTTCGCCGCTTTGGGGAAATTTTCTGGTAAGATACTCTGCAAAATCCTGCTTGAACTCCTATATTTCAGTTTCCGCTGCGGTATCTTGAGTGGTTTGTTTCCGAGCACACGTTTCTCTAACGAATGTCTCTCCCGCTTTTGACGCGTAACTGTCACCGGGCTGTCTCAGGAACTCTCGCCGCTCCCATGAGCGGGAGTCAAGTCAGTGGCGGGAACAAAAAGGACCATGGAGTTATTCGAATGTCGATTTTCTCGTAAGTCACAGCTTCGAATCTATAAAAACATAATGTTTCTCGTTTTCATATCCCTGCCTTTTTTCCTCGTTTTTGTACGTTTTGATCGCAAGCTGGTACGTAAGCTGTAACCTGACATGATGTTTTTCAACCCATTGTTTTACAGGAAAGATGGCGATTACAACGTATACTATAATGGCAAAGCCGATCTCAAGGATTCAGGTTACCCGACAACCGTTGGTATTTTTAAGGGGAAAAAGGGCGAGGCCGGGACGCTCGCATTCGACTTCACGGCTGACGCCACGTGGACGAACGACACGTGGAACCCCGTTTTCCCTGTTTTCCGGCAATTTGTGAACCACTTCGATTACAGCTTCGAGGGCATTTACGAGAAGGCGAGCACCAAGGCCGCGGCAACGGGCACGCTTAAGGATCTTATCAAGGCCATGTTTAACGATGGCGCTGCTCGTACTACGGGTTGGTGACCTCCGCGGCGCACGCGACTGGGGCGACGCGCGGGCAATTCCTTGGATTCAAGCTTTCCATCTGAAAAAAAATAGAAAGGAGTCTGATTTCTGGAGCTGCTGGAATCTGAGGGTCAGTCGTTGAATTCGAAATAGGCGTGAGGGCTGTGTCAAATCCCTTGACATGTTTGGCGCCGTGGTAATAAAATATGCGAATGCGCTTATGTCAAAATTTAACCGTTTGTGCGGATCCTCCATATAAGCAGCTCGTTCTCGGAACGCCTCAGCTTAATGATCGCGACATCCAAAAATAAGCCGCGAAGCCGCGACTAAGAGGATTTCAATGGCTCTTCCTACGTACCTACTGGTAGAGCTGGTGGTTGAGAGGAGGAAGCAGACCAGATGATAGTAACATCACGTCGCGTGAGGCAAATTCTTCCTCCTGAAGTAAGGCAATCCACCACACCAACTGGCAGTGAGTCGGTCGGTGCATTTGGTGGTAGCACGAAGAAGAACGTGTTAGTTAGAGATAATGCCGAATCTGCTGTGCAACACGCTGCAGGTCGATTTGCATTCGTCACGGGTCGCTAGGATCTTCGCATGACTACCCACCCTAGACGAAAACAAATAGGTTGACTGGGTAAAGTCTCGCAACGGGGCCGAACACTGCAACCATAGCGAAGCTGATATGTTTGCGCAAAGCTCAAGTTCTCGTGTTGGTGGTTACACACATTGGCGACTCTTGCCAATCCCCACTCCGAACCGCATCTTCCTTGCTTGAAAATGAAGCGAAGCAATTGCTCGATCGAAATTCAACCATTTTCATGCTGGGCAAAGACAGCAATTTCCAGCCTGGACCTAGGAGGTACAGCAAGCCTACAAACATGGGGACATTGTCGGCGACAGCGGCTCGTATTGTGCATCTGGGACAACCACGCATGTCAGCTTCGACAACATCGGACGACGTTGAGCATCCATTCTAAATCATCGTACGGTAGTTAATTTGTCGCGAAAAGGGTAATGTGAGGGCGCGATATCGTGACCAGCCACCAAAATGTCACCAATCGGGACCCCTTCTGTCGTTCCCCTTCCTCACAACCTGATGCTGCTTTCCTCGCAACGCTCCTCATGATGCTACTACATAAGCAACTCGACAACCTTCGAATTCTCATCACTTGGCTGAGAAGATTTCGTGCGCGTCTGAATCTAGACTCCTAAGTGAAGGGCAGAGAGGGAATGCACGAGGCCTGCGAGTTGCATTTTGCTGCCACTTTCAAGCATTTCTTTTTGCTATCGCTACGAGGAAAATGATGATGTCTCTCCGGCCTGCCGTAACCTCACTGGTGGTAGCTGCTCTCCTACTTGTATCATGTAAGCTCGAGAACGCGAGCACCAAACGCAAGCATCGCGTTCTATCAACGTTAAACCGAGTTTGCATCGATCTTCTCTACCGATTTTATTGTTCTTCCTGGTTTTTGTTTTCACCCAGCATGCCATGCAACACGCCCTGGAGCCGCAGCGACACTCGCGGACAGCCCCCTTGGGGCGCAACGAAGAGCGCTGGCGAGCGTGAGTGGCTGGATTCAAGACAGATTTTCCAAGGGAATTGGATATCCGTATGGTACGCTTCAGTTTTTCTATTTTTGTTTTCATCTATCTAATAAAAAAAACATCCGTTGTAGTACGATCAGGAACTGAGGGACGCTTACGAACTCTCGGCGCAACTCTTCTTTTTCCGTTCACGAGCTCTTTGACAATCACTATTCATTCAATCTTCCATCCTGTTCCTTTCCCCTTTTCTATTCTTTTAATATCGGAATTGCATCATGGCCGCCTTGCAGCTGGGTTAGCGGCAGCCATGGATGGTTCGGAGCTGAGCGGCGATCCGACGACTGCTGGAGTCCTCACTTTCGGCATCCTCAAGTATAGTCGCAATCACATTCGAACTTGAACAACCACTCAAATTCGCACACGCGAAGGTGTCAGGGTGGAAGGGTGCTCTCTCTCTCTCTCTCTCTCTCTCTCTCTCTCTCTCTCTCTCTCTCTCTCTCTCTCTCTCTCTCTCTCTCTCTCTCTCTCTCTCTCTCTCTCTCTCTCTCTCTCTCTCTCTCTCTCTCTCTCTCTCTCTCTCTCTCTCTCTCTCTCTCTCTCTCTCTCTCTCTCTCTCTCTCTCTCTCTCTCTCTCTCTCTCTCTCTCTCTCTCTCTCAGTACAACGCTTGTCCCTGTTGTGAACACCACTGCTGTTTAATGATGGTGTTTCAAATAAATGCCACTCAACTTTTACCATCTAAGTCATGTACGAGCCAGAGCCATATGATGCTGCTCGCTCTCGTCCCACCTGATAAAATTCCTGCTTCTCCTCTGTTTCTCCCCCGGTTTGAGGATTTTCCAGGATCAGGAACGACTATCACATTCGCTACGCTGTTGCTGTTCGTGTGCCTACCCCAGGTTACCCAGCTGCGCTTACAGTGAAAACTGGGTTCGCGGGGGAGACTGGTGACGTGGCGCTGGACTTCGGATCTGATGCCACGTGGAAGAATCTGACGGAGCAGGGAGCACTGGTGTTCAATCTCGCTCTTCAGTCTCAGGGGTTGCCACCAATGGAACCCGGTGCTGTCGGTTACATATATGCATTCACGGGAATATGGTATAATGCAGGCACCAGGACATCTGCTAACGGGAATACGTACAAGCAGGTGGTGGATGCCATGATGGATGCTCCAGATGGTTACTATGGGCTCCTTGCAACACCTGGAAATCCAGACGGTGCTGCCCGTGGCCAGTTTGTTTCCGAGAAGGTGACCCTTGCAAATAAGGTGGCCAACTTTTTGAAGAGGAGGATTCAGAGGCTCAGGCACAGGAGCTAGTAGGACATTTGTGACTATGAGGAAGTAAAGTGGGTTTTTAATGTGGATTAGAGGGATAGAAAAAATTCAAGCGGTTACATATGTGTACCCATGTTGTGATTTTCTATTACTTTGATGAGTTGTTTTTGTATAACATCCAGTGAATGGACGTTGTTGTAGTAATTTCCTGACTATCCAAAAGCTACAATATCTAAGGCATCAAGTTTAGTTTTTCGTTTAATGCCGAAGAGGCGAATGTTCTCGCCACGCCTCCATCGCGGATGTTACCGAGGCTGAAAAACGGCAGTCGTTTTGCAAATAGATGATTTCATTTGCAAGGAGTCATTTTCGGTTTGGTTCGCCATTGCCCTTGCCCAATCGTCCGTTATCGAAAGCGATGGGAACAATTTTCGGTCGTCTATTTTCAATCTACTTTGAGCAGGTTCAGCTCGGTTCGTCACTGCCTCGGCAAAGCTTCATCAACATGAGGAACCATACCAGACGTGTGGGCGCCAAGGCTTGCCTACTTGGGAATATGCTGCTGGAGGAACCCAAAGCGCCCGCCGCCTTCTCGATCTCGAGCCCACAGTTGATTCGACAGAATTGCTGCCAAGACGGAAGAGGAGGTTCGGAGTTTCGAGGGGGAAGAGGTAAGGGGGAAGGCTGGTGTTGATAGTGAAGTGACGGGGGCTGTCTTCCACTCCCAAAGCCCTTGCGAGCGGAGTCAAGCGACGGGCGCAGCGACTGACTTCCTCGCAACAGAACTCTAAGGACGTGTAACCATTTTGCACTCGACGGAACGAACCGTGGACCGTACGTCGATGCGAAAGGTTACCGTTATCGTTTAATGTCGTGCAGTCTTTCGCGAGGACGTGTGCGACGTCGCTACAAATTCGAACCGTCATGAAACTTTTTCCGCATTCTACGACACGAAACTCTGACAACGGATGGTCCGAATCACAAACGGACTGTCCGCCTGTCCGCTCACGCGATTGGCGGGCGAAACTGGATTTCAGCGGACCGCCTCGCCAAAAAATGGAAAATGCGATTCCGATGCAAAAATTGACATTGACCAATCACAACTAGCCATACTGACTGCGAAGGGCTTGGTGTGGACGGCCTTTGTGCTTGTTTGAAAAAATCCTATGTTTGTCCGAAGCGCTGAACTCAACAGGCGAAAATTGCGATGGGTTGTGACTGACGTTACTGGTGTACATTTGAGATGGCGAAGGGAAAACCATCGCGGAGCCCTAGCATGTGGAAAAAGTGTCACATCTGCATTCGTACCGTCCGAAGTTGCAAACATTCAATTCGGACAGTCCGTTTCGTCATAAACGTACCTTCCGATTCCATATAATCGGACGGTACGTCAAAATCACAAAATGAAAAGTGGTTACACGCCCTAAACCTCCTCCTATACATGCAATTCGTCCCGAATCTCCGAATCATACCCGAACGAGCCAAGCCTCGCTCGAGCCAGCTGTTTCGCTTGGCACCCCCTACGCAAGCCCCACCTAACTTGCCTAGCTGCGGCCAAGGCTGGGCAAAGCCCGGCCCGCTAGCCGAACCAGAATGGAGGCTACCCAATGCACCTGCCGTTCATTGGCTGAAAAACACCGCCGCACTTTCGCGCGTCACGCCAACCCCATCCCACCGCACCCCATCCCATCCGTCCACCACATATTTCTTGTGTATGTGGCACACCATCCGTCCCTTGAACATGTTACTGTACCAGGTCCCTTCCAGGGTGGGTCTTGTCATTTCAAGCGCTGCTCGACTCCAGCCAGTCACTGTAAAACCAAACCCCTTCTCACTTCTTCGCTTCACTTCTGTCACAATCTTGCTGCACTGCCGCATTCCTCAACAAAACACCCCGCCGCACCATACAGCACACTTCCGACCGCATTTTTCAACAACCGCGCGTTTGGCTGTTCACGAATACTTGATCCGAACCGTCGGGGGGGCTCCCATATGATTTTCAGCTGCCAACAAATAATATACATTGACACGCCTGGCTCTTCGCCCCGAGCGCGGTATTGATTGGTAAAATACCCCGGTTCGAACTTCGATTCAGAAGTCTTTTTGGTCTCCTCGACTCGACGTTGGTTGCCGCGATTCAACGTTTCGCCGCGCCGCCAGCATGATGAGGCGGTTCATGTTCTTCTCCGTCGCCGTCGTGCTATGCCTTCTCGCGACGCGTAAGTACGCTAATGTGTGACGGAGGCCGCCTAAGTAACGCCACGTGATGCCATGTCAGGTTGCAGTCACGTCAACTCAGCTACATAAGCTGCGTCGCGTCTCGCTGCTCTATAGTGTCTTTTTCCAGCAAGTAAGTGCGCGACGCGTTAGTGTTTTCTTCACACGTTTGTTAATGGATCGCGCAATATTTCCCCGTTCTAGCGTGAAGCATACTTGATTGTTGCTATTGGCTGTGTTTTTACTTTATTTGATATTAATTTTAGGTGCACTATAGAAGCATACAACCGCAGTCGTAACTGGGGACATGTGTGCTTATACGTACAAGCTCCCGAGTCTCAGTTTGTATCGATTCTCTTAACCTTTATCCGCGACGCGTCAAAGTTCATCACGCGCGCCTATACTTACCTCATGTCGCAGCTTGTAACGAGTCGTTTATGCTTCATTTGCAGGCTCGATGCTGACCCGGTGCTTGTGTGGATGTCTTATCGTCCCCCGTCCTTCTCCCTCCTTACTCTTCCCCCCACCCCCCCCCCCCTCCCCCCCACACGCTCCTTAAGCCCCCTACACCACCCAACCCCACGCCCAAAACGCCACTGCATTATCAATGCTTTCAACCCATCCGTTTCGACGGACTCCTTTTCCACCAACTCACAACCCCCCATCTCTCCCCTCCGCCCCTCCTCTCCCCACCGCGCCCTTCCTCCCTTTCCACCTTTGCAGTGCCCGTGAAATCAGCCAACCCGGTACAGCAAGGGCTGGAGAAGCTTACAGCGGGGCTGTATAACAAAAAGTATTACAGGGGCTTTCAGGCGAAGCTAAGGCAACTGCTCCCATCCCATCCCATCCCCCCCTTACAGTGCCCGTGAAATCGGCCGAACCGTTACAGCAAGGGCTGGATAAGCTTACAGCGGGTCTGAAGACCAACAAGTATTACAGGGGATTTCAGGCGAAGCTGAAGCAGCTGCAAATGAACCGGATTTGGACCGAAACTAAGAACTACGTGACGAAGCAATCCGCCGACAAGATGGCCAATTACACCAAGATGCGAAGTAAGTCGGGCAGTTACATACTTTAGTAATACTCCCTCTATAGTACACTGTCTCTCGTGGCGAAGCAATCCGCCGACAAGGTGGCCAGTTACACTTAGATGCGATATAAGTGGGGCAATCACATCACATTTGCTTGCACAGTAAGTCGGGCAATTACATTTGCTTACGAGGTGAATTTTGAGACGACTAGACGGCCACAAGACGGCCAGCTACACTATGATGCGAATTAAGTCGGGCAAATACCGCTGTAAGTCGGGAAATCGCATTTGCTTGTACAGTTAGTCAAGCAATTACAGTTGCTTGCACAGTCAGCCCGCCAAGACACTGGCTTGCACATCTAGCCGCCGAGCGATTTGCAGACACGAAATGAAAGGACTCACAATCCCATCCCCTACTGTCCCCCTCCCCTCCCCCTGCTCCTTTCCAAACACCCCCTCCCTCCTTGCAGTGGCCATAATGTGCGTCATGAGGGGAAGCGGCTCACCCTTGCAGTGGCACTGTTAAATTAACACTGCCTCCCCCTTGCCTAATAATCCCCATTCTCCTCCCCTCCTATTCTCCCTTTCCAACCACCTCTTTCCTCCCCCTCCCTGCTTCCCTCTCACCCCTGTTGCAGCCGCAATCATGTGTGTCATGAGGGGAAGGGACTCCCAGGGTAACCAGATTGGGCAAGATCGGGCGTTTGGATTTTTCTATATCCTCCTTTTTAAGAGGTGCGCTTGTCATTGCTATCGCATCCTCCTTTCTTTAGAGGTGCGCTTGTCGTTGCTACTACATCCTCCTATTTTTAGAGGTGTGCTTGTCGTTGCTACTGCATCCTCCTTTCTTTAGAGGTGCGCTTATCATTGCTACTCCATCCTTGTTATTAACATGTTTGCTCGTTCGGAAGTAACCCATTCTCACTGTTGAAAAGAAGCTACACCCGTTTGCATTGCATCTGCTTTTATAAAGAGCTTCTCCATCCTTGTTATTCAAACATTTTCTTGCTTTTCTCCCCCTCTTCTCCCCCCTCTTCCCCCCCCCCCCTCTTCTCCCCCCTCTTCTCCCCCCTCTTTCTCTCCCTCTCTTTCTCTCCCTCCCCGCAGGGACGACGGTGATCTCGACGGATACTACGGGGGGTTTGTAAAGCTCAAGGACCCAGAGTTCCTGTGTTCTCCTCTTCTTCCCCTTTCACCCTTCCTGTTCGCCCCTGTCCGCCCCCTCTTTCCCTCCCCGCAGAGACGACGGCGATTTCGACGGCTACTACGGGGGCTTTGTCAAGCTCAAGGACCCTGAAAAACCCATAGCAGCAGCTATCAGCACGGGCTACGAAGGCGAAGACGGGTCCACAGTGATCGATTTCGGAGCCGAAGTCACCTGGGGAAACGCGTCCCGATCCAGCAGCCTCGGGCTCATCTCATGGTTCCCAAAATCCTCCGCTCCGCTCGGCTATAACTACTACTTCCGGGGGTCATGGATCGGAATGAGCGCGCTTACTGCTGCTGACGGATCTGTTCTTTCCGATGCGATACTGGCCATTGGGAAGAAGACTCAGGCGCATTATGGCGCCGTGGCAAATTCCAATTACCCCAGCGGGGCCGTTCGTGGCCAATGCGGGGTCGACACGTCAGGAATCAACTTTTAACTGCTCGGAGTGGGTCGACGGGGTAACCGCATGGGATTGGCGAATGGCTGCTGGTGTCTCGCCCCTGAATCTGCAGGGAAGTGCAATGACTAGTTGCAATGGGTGAAGGGGTCAACGGCCTGTTTAGGGGGGGAGATTATTGTGGGTGGGGAGGGGAGCTGGAACCTGGTGGCACATCGGGGATTTGGTAGGCATATGCAGGAAACATGCATTGGGAGCAGGGTCTCCGTCAAATGGCTTTCTTTTGAATGGAATTTGAGTTGAACTTCGTACTGTATATCTGATACAGATGATACGGTATGGGTGGAGCTTTCATCCAGCTGTTACTGTACGGTACTACAGGCATTTGTAAGTGTACGAGTGCAATTGAGTGAACGATCGAGAATTGCACTATCGAAGCAAGAGTACAATGAGCGAAGGCATGAACGAAGGCTATATAGCGAAACCACAGTGGTAATGGTAATGGACTGTGGTTGTCGCGTGACGGGCCTGGGACTGAGGTTGGGAAAAGTGTCGAAACGGAGGCCCGGAGCTCGGGTTACCCGCCAAGCCGTGAGGTCGGGGTGCGACGTGCGAAGGTGGCGGGAGGATTGTCGATGTGAGGGTTGCGAGTAGTAACGGTGCTGACTGTGGTGCTACAGTGGTGTACGCGCTGAGTGGGGATGCGAAGTAAGGAAAACGAATTTTCCTTACACTACCCCCCCCCCCCCCTAAGGAGGTCCTCCTTACGAAAGTTCGTGTACATCCCTGAAATTTCGGTTGCGCAGATACTCGGTGAGGACGGGGTGGTTTTCGATTCTGTCCAGGGGGACCCAATTGTCTTCGGTGGGTGTACGGTCCTTCCAGCGGAGCAAGAACTCGATCCTTCGGGCTCCTCGAGGGTCGCGAACTCTGTGACTCATGATTTTCTCGGGGGTGATGATTGGTTCAGTTGGTGGTCTTGTCATGCTGGCTCAGCGATTGCGTGGTAGTTGGCTCGTGGACGGGACGTAAGGGCAAAGCATACTCAGGTGGAATGAGGGGTTGACGTACCAGTCAGCAGGGAGGAGGAGGTGGGCAGTGACGGGTATAATCATGTTGTTTATGCGAAATGGCCCGTAGTATCGGGGGCGGAGTTTCGGGATGATGGGCAGTCGGAGGTTCTGAGTGTCAAGTAAAACTAGGTCGTCGGGCTGGTAAGTGACAGGTCTGCGGTGGCGGTCGGCGTTGCGTTTAGTGATGATGTTCGATTCTTTTATTGCGTCTACTGCCCGGGTCCGTGCTGTTTGTAATATTTCGGCAAACTGTTGTGCTCGTGGTACTGGGTTGTCGGGATTCGGAGTCATGGGTACTGTCAGGTCTTGTCCGTAGTTTAGGTAAAATGGTGACTGTTGGGTCGTGGCGGATGGCGAGCTGTTGTACGCGAATTCGATGAGTGGCGGTTGCTGTTCCCACGTGGTCGGGTCGTCACACGTGGCCCTGATGAGCTGTTTCATGGTATAATTTGTCCGTTCTGTCTGTCCGTCGGTTTCGGGGTGGTATGATGAACTAAACTGCAGTCGCGTGCCGAACTGCTCCCACAGGTTCCGCTAGAAGTTGCTGGTGAATTTCGTGTCGTGGTCGCTGTAATCGCGGCCGGCTGTCAGAACATATAGCTTACTTGTTTCTGTAGGCTATAGTGGGGTATCCCATAGGGGGTACAACACAATTAGGGTTTCCTATTTGTATTCACTTCACTTCATAGTCATTCATTCTCGTTCTTTGATTCCACATGGAATCAGAGCAGGTTCCCTCCTAGGGACTACTTCTAGGGCCCACCGAACCGCGCCCCGAGGCGCGTTTTTTTTAGCGACCCGTCGTGTCGCCCCTAGCGGCCCGTTGCGCCGCCCTTCCCCTAGCGGCTCCGCCGCCCTTCCCTAGCGGCCCCGCCGCCCTTCGATCGCGGCCCCGCCGCCCTCTGCTACGCGGCCCCGCCGCCCCCATTCGATCGCGGCCCCGCCGCCCTCTGCTACGCGGCCCCGCCGCCCTCTGCCACGCGGCCCCGCCGCCCTCTGATACGCGGCCCCGCCGCCCTTCGATTGCGGCCCCGCCGCCCTCTGCTACGCGGCCCCGCCGCCCTCTGCTACGCGGCCCCGCCGCCCTCTGCTACGCGGCCCCGCTGCCCTCTGCTACGCGGCCCCGCCGCCCTCTGCTACGCGGCCCCGCCGCCCTTCGATCACGGCCCCGCCGCCCTCTGCTACGCGGCCCCGCCGCCCTCTGCTACGCGGCCCCGCCGCCCTCTGCTACGCGGCCCCGCCGCCCTCTGCTACGCGGCCCCGCCGCCCTCTGCTACGCGGCCCCGCCGCCCTCTGCTACGCGGCCCCGCCGCCCTCTGCTACGCGGCCCCGCCGCCCTCTTCCGTCGCGGCCCCGCCGCCCTTCGATCGCGGCCCTGCCGCCCTCTGCTACGCGGCCCCGCCGAGCCGCCCAGCATCCGCCGAGCCGCCCAGCAGCAGCCGAGCCGCCGCCGAGCCGCCGCCGCCTGAGCCGCCGCCCGGGCCACCTGAGCCGCCGCCCGAGCCGCCGCCGAGCTGCCGCTGAGCTGCAGCCGAGCCGCCGCCCGAGCAGCCCGAGCCGCCCGAGCCGCCCGAGCCGCCCGAGCCGCCCGAGCCGCCCGAGCCGCCCGAGCCGCCCGAGCCGCCCGAGCCGCCTGAGGAGCCGTGCTGCTGTTCCTGAGCTGTGTTCCTCTGCTGCTGACCTACCCGACTCTCCCAGCCCGGTGAGACTTTCAGCTGCTGCCATGGCCACCCCCAATGTTCTTACTTTTGACGCTGAGGGGAGGGCCATTGACTTTGCCGTCTGGATTGAAGACCTGCAGCTGTACTTACTGTGTGATGCGATAGATGAGGTCTCTCTCTTTGACTTTGTCTCTGGCGCTCTCCCTGCCCCACCTGCTGATGCTAACTCTGCCGTTCGCTCCAAGTGGGCGACCCGCGATGCTGCTGCACGTCTTGCTGTGCGTCGCCACCTCCCTTCCTCTGAGCGTGCCCACTTTAGTCAGTGCAAGACCGCTCAGGCCTTGTACGACGCTGTAGTTGCACGCTACTCCTCCCCTTCCTCCGCTACCCTTAGCCGCCTCATGCTACCGTTTCTCTTCCCTGACCTCGCTTCCTTTCCCACTGTCGCTGACCTCGTTACCCACCTCCGTGCTAGTGACACCCGCTACCGCGCTGCCCTTCCTGCTGAGTTCCGCGCTGCGAACCCTCCTCCCATGTACATCACTCTCTACTTTCTCGTCACCCGTCTCCCTGAGTCCCTTCGTGTTGTTAGGGACCAGTTTCTCTCTGTCTGTCCCACCACTCTCACTATCGACCTCCTTGAGGAGTCCCTGCTACCGGCTGAGAAGAGTATTGTCGCTGTAGGGGCCTCTCGGGGTGACCCTCGCACCCCCATCTTTGAGGGGTGTGGTCCTTCCCCCCTGCTGCCCTCTGTCGCCTCTGCCGCTGCGGCCGACCTCGCTGGTTTTGAGTCGGTCGGCGCGGCGTCTGCCCCCAGCGGCAGACGCCGCGCGGGCAAGGGCAAGGGGGGCAAGGGAGCGGGTGGAGCTAGAGGGGGCGGTGGAGGAGGCGGTGGGGGTGGCGGGGGGAGTGGGGGTGGCGGTGGGGGTGGTGGCGGGAGTGGAGGTACTGGTGGCGGCGGTGGAGGCGGAGGTGGCGGCAGAGGTGGTAGCGGAGGAGGCGGTGGGAGCGGTGGGAGCGACGGTCCTAGTGGGGGAGGTGGCGGTGGAGACGGGGGTGGCGGTGGAGGCGGGGGTGGCGGTGGAGGCGGGGGTCGGAGTGGCTCGTCCCAGCGGAGCAGCTCTGGGGGTGGTCAGCGCCAGCAGCAGTAGCAGCAGCAGCCGCAGCAGCAGCCACAGCAGCAGCAGCGCTCTTGCACCGTCCTCGCCCCTCAGCAGCTCCGTGAGTGGTACTTGCAGCGTCAGCGTGGTGGTGCGCTTGGTCCCTGCCCCTACGTTCTTCGCACCGGTGACCGTGCAGGGGAGAGGTGTGGAGGCGCCCACACAGCCCGCCGCTGCTTTGGCCGCCTGACCGACGCCTGGCGTCAGCAGTTTCCGGAGGCCGCTGAGATCCCCCGCCGGGGAGAGCTGTCTAGGGCTGGTGTAGCTATTTATGATCTTGATTTTGATGCTATTCTCTCTGCTATGTATGCTGTGACTGGTAGTGATGAGGATGACTGTTACCGGTGTTTCCCGCCCGACCCGGGCATTGGTACTGCCGCGTCAGGTACTAGTGAGGCTGCTGCTCTAGGTGCCAGTGCGTCTGTGCTCTCAGGTGCTGGTGAGTCTGCCCTCTCAGGTACTGTGTCGGCTTCGACCTCTCACACCTTCACCCTTGACTCTGGAGCGTCTCGCTCCTTCTTTCGGGACCGCACCACTCTCACGCCGCTGAGTCGGCCGGTTGCGGTGTCCCTGGCTGACCCCTCTGGGGGGCCTGTCCTGTCTCGCTGACTGTCCTGTCACGATGACTCGCCACCAGTCCATGGCGGGGCCCGTTAGTAGCGAGACGGCATATCGGATCTTTGGTGCGTCCAACTCGACGTAATTCGCGTCGAAGAAGACGTTCATCGTGAAGATCCATGATTGAACCGTCGGGCCTCCACGTTGGCTCGGGTCGAAGCAGGGCGGGCGTTGCGGCTTTAGTGGCATTGGTGTCATAATGGCCTGTTCACCACTTGTCGCTGCGAACTCCACGTGCCGACGGGCTTCGGGAGGCTCCCGCGGGCTTGGTGCGACCCTGTTTCCTCCCATGCCAGGCATCGGCTGGGCGGCGCCATAGCTGGCTGCGCGTGAGCGCTGTCCCACGCTGTTGTTTTGTGTTGGTGTGCCGGACGAGATGACGATCGGCTTGTCCGATTCTGTAGATGCATTTTTTGGTGCGTGTGGTGGCGCTAGAGTGTTCATCGCTGATTGCTGACGCGCGGAGTCACTTTTGAGTCTGACTTTCGAGTCTGACTTTTGAGTCTGACTTTTGAGTCTGACTTTTG